TCACAACTCCGCAAGCGCAACCTGTTTTCATGCAAAGAAGCTTTCAATGCCTCACAACGCTCCGCTGCTGCCATGGCGTGCCTTTGGCCGCGCCCGGCCACAGCTTTTAGCAAGTTTCCATGTGTATATATACCCTTGCCACACTTGCGTAGACATGAAAGTACTAGAAAGTACAAGTTAACATCATATAGATCATGCCTGTGTGTTTTCCTGCGCATTCTTGACACAGCCTCTCATGGACATGACAGAAACCCCTTCGCTAAGAGGGTATAGCCAAATGTCAGCGAAGCAGAATAAAGAATCACGCTTTGTTTTCAGCTACATCTTCTTTTTACGACCAAAACAGTTGACCCTATAGGGAGCCATGCGTTGTGAACACCTTATTGACTGAAATAAACAAAGTTTGGCCAGATTAGTGGTCACACTCTCCCGCCCAGATATTACGGCAAGCATGGCTGGGTCTCCAAAAACTCCTGCCAAGACAAATTGAAAAAAGCGGCGAGCGACACACACACACACACAGTGCGGCAATTAACGCACACACACACACAGTGCCCCAGCTTGCTCACGCAAACTCGCATCTCAGCTTTTCATGCCCTGCTTCACTAAGTACAATCTGCTGAACAGCAGCTTTTTAAAGCAGGCTCGCATAAGCGTAGCCCATCTTTCGCCGCTTCGGCCAGATCATTTGCACTTCCTCCTTGGTCGGTTTCACCGCCGCAGGAAAAGAAACAGGGTGTGCCATAAAAGAAGCCAGGGCTGAGTGTAAATGTGAAACATCCCGGGAGGTCCCGACAGACTTGAAGGCCCCCGACCAGTTGTGGCATGCAAAGCACTCTTTGTGTGCTTGCGAAATTTGCCAAAGCCAAGCCAATGGTTCTGGCTGCCCCTCTGCAGCTGTCTGCCTCTGTTCTCGGTACTTCTGACGCAAGTACGACTTGAAGCGCCAAAAGGCGAAGACGTCCAAAGGCTGGAGTAAACTTGTTGTAGATGCTGGTATATATAGTAATTGAAATCCATGTCGCTTTGCCGCTACTAAAATAGTTTTCGGCAGGTGTGGGCACGCGCAGTCCCACATTATGACTGGTGAGATGCCTGCGAGAAAAGGCATGAGCGCCTTTTTCACGGCTTGTAAAATCACCAGCATGCAATCAGCTGTGACCCAAGATGACTTGCCACGAATGATTTGCAGCTGCGTACGAGGCAAAGCGTTGTACGCTCTCAGCAAAGAGCTCGGTAGCCTCGTCTGGGAGCTAATCAAGAAATGAGGAAGAAATGGTTGTATACTTGGATCACTGCAAATCAGAGCGCAGTATGTGTAAGCGCCGCGCCGGCGATCCTTTCTGATCTTCATGTGTGGCACTTCTGGATGTTTCTTCCAATGCTTCGCGTTTACTATGCACCCCGCCCCCGGTAGTGGGGAATATGCTATTGAAGTCTCGTCAAAGTTGATCCAAAGAATCTTGCCAGTGACCTTCTCGGTGATGTAGGAAATGCTCTTCCAGAAGACATTGATCTGCCATGGTCGGAAAAATCTTGCAATGAAGTCTCACCAAAAAAAGACAAAATTGTTTCCAAATGCGGCCCCAAAATTGAGACCGTTTTTGGGCCCCAAAATTGCTTCCCCCACTTAAACAAGACCACAGTTCGGGACTCCCAGGCGGTCCCAAAAATAGGACCTGACATCCAAAGTTTGCAGGCCTTCTGCTGCAAGTCTTCCGGATTGATTTGGCCAATCGGCCGCAAGCGCCCCCTTCGCACGGCCCAACGAGCACGCCATCGAGCAACCCATTTGTTCACAGTTCGTTTATGAGGCCGCCCACTTGGAATCTTACAGGCATTGCAGGATTCAAAGCGGCTAAACACTTCTGCTGCACACGGAGCCACGCCGTTGGCAAGGTTCTGTGCATGAACCCAACGCCAAACCTCCTGTTCCCCAAGGAAGACGCGAGCAAATTTCAGAGCCCTTGCCCAAGCCATGTTGGCTTCGTCATGCATGCAAAGAAGATCGTCTAAATCAATATCCAAAAACAGTTGCCGAACCAAAGTCTTGCTGGGGAAATTCACATCTGCTGGGGGTAACGTTGACAAATGTCTTGCAGCTTCCTCCGCCGTCGCCAGATCCCAAGAAGAAAGCATGTACACTGCCAGCACCCTTTTGACAGCTGTCACTGATAACCCCCCATGTTCCAAGCGCAGCTTGTTGCGCCGTGCAGCTTGCTCACAACTCCGCAAGCGCAACCTGTTTTCATGCAAAGAAGCTTTCAATGCCTCACAACGCTCCGCTGCTGCCATGGCGTGCCTTTGGCCGCGCCCGGCCACAGCTTTTAGCAAGTTTCCATGTGTATATATACCCTTGCCACACTTGCGTAGACATGAAAGTACTAGAAAGTACAAGTTAACATCATATAGATCATGCCTGTGTGTTTTCCTGCGCATTCTTGACACAGCCTCTCATGGACATGACAGAAACCCCTTCGCTAAGAGGGTATAGCCAAATGTCAGCGAAGCAGAATAAAGAATCACGCTTTGTTTTCAGCTACATCTTCTTTTTACGACCAAAACAGTTGACCCTATAGGGAGCCATGCGTTGTGAACACCTTATTGACTGAAATAAACAAAGTTTGGCCAGATTAGTGGTCACACTCTCCCGCCCAGATATTACGGCAAGCATGGCTGGGTCTCCAAAAACTCCTGCCAAGACAAATTGAAAAAAGCGGCGAGCGACACACACACACACACACCTGGGGGCCATACTTCGGAAGCCTCAAAGCAGCACAGAAAGCGGTCTCATTTTTTGGCCCGCGCAAATTGACTGACCAGCAATGCCATCACGCCTTCAGCAGCATCCTGCGGCGAGCAAAGATGGAGCATATATTGGATTGCCCGGACAATGCGCTTAGTCAACATGGGGTTACAACTCCTGCTGGGCCAATCACAAAAACCGAAAAGGGATGCATCTTCAAGGTAATGGGTGCTTCTCTGCACAACACATGAAGCTCTCTTTTTTGGGCCCGCAAAAGTCGCACGAAAATTCAAAGGCATCGTCCATCATTGCCTCAATCTCCTCATCACAAGGCCATGGCATGAGAGGTTCCTGCAATGCAGCTGCGCCAGTTGCGACAGAAGCAGGAAGAATTCCATCAGGAGTGTTCTTGCTCGCAGCAGCTGTGCCAGATTCGGCTGAAGCAGGAAGATTTTCACCAGAAAAGCTCGAAGAACAATCCTGGCGCCACTCACACCCACTGAAAACATAACATTGGAAACGCCCATCCAAAGGAGGCAGAAGGTCCCAAAGCACTAGTGCAGACATCTCTTATGAATTCAACCATGTTTGATAACATCGCATTCAAAACAAAATAGGAACATGATTATGCTGTTGGCCTCCTTTGGATGGCCGTTTGTAACGTTCCGTTTTGCATGGGCCAGCCGGTCCTCGGACTTGAACACCTTCTTCGAACACTCCACCCAGACTGTGCGTCTGTCGATGGCACCCTTGTGGTTGGGCGTGAAATATTCCACTGGCCAGAACTACTTCAAAGCTTGCAGAAACGTACTTCCCAGTACTACTTTGTACTACAAAGCTTGCAGGAACGTACTTCCCAGTACTACTCTGTACTACAAAGCTTGCGGAAACGTACTCCCCAGTACTACTTTGTACTAGAAAGCTTGCAGGAACGTACTTTCCAGTACTACTTTGTACTACAAAGCTTGCAGAAATGCACTTCTTTGTACTACAACTCTTGCAGGAAATGGGAACACAGGTTCACCAAATACTGCGCCTGCCACGAAAAATGACAATCTGAAGCATCCTGGAATCAGCATGAGATGGCCAGTTCCAATGCGATTTACGATTTGCTAGGAAAGCATGCGCGGCCAAAATCGAAGCACTCCCCGCACGAAAACCAAAATCATAACGTTGGAATCCAACGTTACGATCCGTTTTTGGCGACAGTTTCACAAAAAAGTGGAAATCATAACGTTGGAACGCGGTTTGAAATAGAATATAATATTCTTTTTTTGGCCGCATCCAACGTTACGATTTCGACTTTTGTCCCACACCTGCCACGAAAAACAAGCATAACGTTGGAATCCAACGTTACGATTTCGGCGTTTGTCCCACGCCTGCCACGAAAACTCGGACCAGAGGCTCACCAAATACTGCGCCTGCCACGAAAAGAGCAATTAGGGGCTTACCAAGTACTGCGCCTGCCACGAAAACTGGGACCAGAGGTTCACCAACTATTGCGCCTGCCACGAAAAATGGAATTAGGGGTTTACCAAATACTGCGCCCACCACGAGAAGTGGGACCAGAGGTTCACCAAATACTGCGCCTGCCACGAGAAATGCATTTAAGGGCTTACCAAATACTGCGCCCACCACGAAAACTGGGACCAATTCGTGGCAAGCTGGAATCCAAGATTGATTGCAAAATTTCGAACATATGAATGAAACCGGGTGCCTTTGTCACACCTACGGCTGATTTTTGCACACATGCACACACCTGACCTCATTCCATATCTGCTTTGTGGCGGCCTTCAGCTGCTGCTTTAAAACCAGCCTTTCAGCACGCAAGCCGGGCAGCTGATCTGGCACAGCTGCGCGCACTGGCACAGCCGCGCCATCAGGTCTTCCGTCTGCACCATTGCCAGCTGCGCTTTCATCATTTGCTGTGTCAGACATGTTGACTGAACTGCGAAGCAGCAATATCTGTGAGTCTGAAAAAGGCTGCGTCAAAGCATGTGTCCACAAGTCTGATGCTGTCTTGGGACTGCAACATAAATGGGGCTGGTTTGAGAGCCCCAAAAACGGTCACACTTGAAGCTTCAATATGATGGACCCTTGCAGTATATAGAAATATTGCACATAACCGTGCCTATATATATGTGTGTGTGTGTGTTGTGTGTGTGAGTATGTCAATACGCATTTGGTATCCACAAACAAAATCGGATGTGCAGCAGTCACCATGCTGCATGCCTGTCCTCTCATGGATACCCATCTAGCTGCTTCCGAAACAAATCCCGGCGAGCTGCTGAATACCATCAAAAGCATTGGCCTGAAGACAGTTGGAATCATGTCATATGTGCCATGGTCAAGCACTCGCTTCAAGCTATTATATAATCCTATTATCTACTCCAGGATTGGTATGGTAACGTGGTTGAAAAGCTACAAACGATGGTGCAAGAAGTTTGCAATCTTAAGGCTGAAATCTTAGCCAACAAAGCTTGTGGGAAAACGAGGCAGCCTCCGTTCAAAACTCAACCTGCAAAGAACGATCATACTCCGTCAATTTCCAAGTCAACTCAGTTTCTTCATACAATTTTTCCCTGGTTGGTGGTTTTAACCATCTTGAAAAATATTAGTCAATGGGAAGGATTATCCCATCTATTATGGAAAATAAAACATGTTTGAAACCACCAACTCAGAAACCCAGCGGTTTCCAAGCCATTCCATGCGCCCCTTCCGTCGGCACCGAGACATCGATGTCGCAGGTCACTTTGCCGCTGGGCCGGTAACACGCGACGTCGGAGCTGGGAGGACGCTCGGCCATGGGGATGCTGGCCACCAGCTTCTCCTGGCTAACTCGGAGTCATCGGAGTCCGAGCGAAATGCGAAATGGGAAATGATTGAATCATCCATGATAGATATGATAGAAAGAACACATTAATCATCTTTAATCGTTTAAAATTGTATCAGCAATCACTGCTCTGGGTTGATATTATATATATAAGATGGTATAGGGACATGTTGTGGTTGAAGACATGCTGTTGATCATGAAAAATCGGGTTTGATGTCCACTTCATCCAATTCTGGACGTAAAGAGAATGGATGGGGACGAGGGTGTCATCATGTGAACAGTCTCATCATGTCTCACCCACCAGCTCCATCTATTTAAAGAGAGAAGGTTCTTATTTATTTTTGTGCTTTTTCCATCTGCATATTTCTTTATAAATCGTATTATATCCTTTCACTGCCACGCACCAGAAAAGGAAAACCGCCCACGCAAAACAAACACCAAGCCGCACAAAGGTCCATACAGTTCACTGCGACTGCCTGGCGAGCCGGAACCCCCATGCAGCTCTGGCAAAGTTTGCACGGTTCACTACAAGATACCCACATAACTATGGAAAACCACCATTTTAAATAGGTAATTCAACTATAAATCGTCATTTTCTATAGCAAACTGTTAGTTTACCAGGCCGGGCACTACCAGCGATCCCCTGCCTCATCCGAGGAGTCGGCGTATCCCATGACGGATCCATGGTGCTGGCATATATGCTAACATGACTGGGGTATATTGATGGGATCCATGTTACCATATATAGCAGCACCATGGATCCTATGGGTATGGGTTACTCTCGGACGCCAAGGAGTTATCTTCATCCCGGCTGCCCGGCTGCCCCCCCCAAAACACATGCAGAGGTCGCATCTTTCGCCAGCGCCTTTTGGTCATCCTGGAGGGGATGGAGCTGGCGCCAGGGGGGGCTTCAGATTTCAAGGTCATGGATGGTAACCCGTCAAATAAATTCCATACATAATTCAAATAGTTATAATAATTATGCATATGACAGATCTATCACATATACATATATAATTATATATATATGATATTAATATACATTTATATATATATATATATCATATATATATATATATACATATTACATATTACATAGAGAGAGAGAGAGATATCCATATCTTTCCATATCACCATTCCATCTTCCTCATTCTTCCGAAGAATCTTCCTCTTAGATGTTCCCTCATTTTCCGCGTGTTTTTTCCCTTCACTGCCAATCCATGGCCGGCACCACAGCGCGCCTCCCGGTTCTGCAGCCCCAGGAAGCGGCTCAGGAATTCGCGCACCGAACGCGGTGAGGCCATGATATGCTCCGCAATCTCAGCCGCGTGCACCACCTGGGAGCCGTGCCCTTTGCGATGCCTATCCAACAGTGGATGTCGTTGGGAAAATCCCATGGAAATTATGATTTTTCAAACCAAGAGAAGCCAGGAACTTCGGAGATGTCGGAGTTTTCGGGTGAAACCACCATGTTTCACCATGAAATTTTGGGATATGAAGCAACAACATTCCAATTCGACGGATTGGTCTGGCCTTGGAAAATCTACGCTTCACCCATGTTGAAACCATAGGCCCAGCACCCCCAAATACAGATCCAGACTCAGTGTGGCTGTAAAAGTTGTGGTTTTACATGTGCGTACTTTTTTTCCACGAGACCTCTGGCTTCATTTGTGATACTCAAATGCTGTAGCCAACAGAAAATGTTGTGGACATATTCAAGTAACCCATTCCTGATTACGAAATTAGCGGATATAATTGGCAATGCTGGTATTTTTGCTCAAATCATGTTTCTCATGGTGCATGACACAATCAGGCCCACCCTGGAATCCATAAAATAAACGATAGCACACGCATATGCATATATATATATACATATAATACATATAATATGTATACATAATATTGATATTTTATGTAATCCTGGAATGATATATACATATATTATATATAATATCATAATATCAACATAGAAGTCTATTCCATCTATTCGACTCCCTCTTTCAATGTCATGTTTATTCATTTTTTGTGGTGTAATCACACCCAAACGTCGGGCGCACCTCAAGGTCCTCGTCAGCAGTGGTACCAAAGTAGCTGCTGGTGAGCTTGTTGATACCTTCACCTGATCCATGGATGAAAACGCTCCAAAACTTGAGGTTAGCCGGTTAGCTGGAGGTTGATTTGGAAAGAACACTTGGGTATATGGCACACCCGGTCTCAATGGTGGAGGAGAAACTTAAGCCAACCAAAGTGGGGAGGTTCACAAACAAGAATTGCTTGATCGGTGATTGAGCAAACTGGGTCATACACATTATGAAATTCAATTTGGAGCATAGATCTGCATATAAATATCTGGTGCATAGGATGGAAACTTGGTTGAACCGACACCCTAAATGGATGTACGAAGATCTACGATGTATACAGTACATGACGATTCAAAGATATTGGGGAGCTCGACGGTCAATAGATAGGGACTTTTCACAACGCCTTCAGAGGCCTGGGCTCCCCACAGGTCTCCGCCACGATGTTCGCATCGCAAAGCGCTGGGTGCTGCACATGCTCTACAGTGACATTCTGCTGCCTGAAGGCATTGGGAGTGCTGGGAGGCATGTCTACACCACACCAGCAGGGGGGATAACACTGAAATACCAAACAACATGCCCACCCGGTCATTGGTCATTTGCTGGTGAAGTAAGATAAGACTGTTAGTGTTACGCGCATTGCTACAGTAGTTACAGATTATTCATGATGTGGCCGTTCTATGCGCCTACGGGCCTACGGGCCTACAGCTGATTCTTTTCTTGGTGGCTTCTCCATGGCTAAAAGCTGACCATGTTTCGTGGCATAAGGCCACGACGGTAAATCCATCTCCAGAAATTTGAAACTGTGCCAGAAATATGGAATTGCCCCATGTTTCCATGGCCAACTTTGATGCACAGAGACCACACCTCGCCAAACTATGTCGTTGCAAAGCATTCAGGGCGCAGCCCTCGCTACTGCATTCGTCGTCCGCATGCAGTGCTTCTCTCCCTGGCGCCCACGTCCGCACTGGGACGGTGAGGGTTCTGTGTGGACCGATGAAAACCGGATCCTAAAATAGGGATGCTCTTAGTGCGTGAGGGGATTTTCCAAAAGGAATTACAGTAAAAGTGTAAGCTCATGTAAGCTTACTGCTGTGACATTTTGTGAAAGTATCTACGACCAATTTCTGCTTCAGACACTGCAATCAGGCCAATTCTCCCCACTAGGAGCATGTTGCCAAGCCCATGTCCAATCTCTATACAGCTAGTACCAAATAGTTTTTCCCGATTTTAGCACACGAACGACATATCATAAATTACACCGAAACCTCACATGCCAATTCCAATCGTAATTTCATCGTCCAATCCCATTGCTTTGGGCCTGCCATTGCCCACGCACGAGCCTGCGGTCACCCTGACAAATGCTGACACCCCGCCTCTGGCAGGTCTGAAGAAGAGCAGCACAAAGGTGGCAAAGCACCTGCTCCAAAAATTGGCTGACTGGTACTGAGATATCAACCCTGGGCCCACCTGCCAAGCCCAAAATCACACGGGAAGCTAACTTGTGATGGAAATCAAACCAGGTATATACTGTATTGGGAGAAAAAAACACAACCACCTGCTGATAAGCTTCCCCTCGCACAAGTTATGAATGGCACAGCGCTGGAGCTGAAATGCCCAGTGTCCAACCCAAAGAAGGTAGGCCATTCTGATACCACAGAATTTGTCGAAAACGCCAAATGATTTCAGCCTCCCGGTTCTTGGTCTGGAGGCTCCCAACCGCACAATTTCCTGCTTCTTTCCATTTCTTCATGTTTTGTTCCTATCATCTTTGCCCAATGATTATCCAATGAGTATCTAATTAATGATTATCCAATGATTATCCAATGATTATCTAATGCAAAAGTTAGGTTCATGATATAACCTGCATATGGTTCATGATCTAACCCATCCTGCAAGACGACCAGAAAGTTTCCCGACTTCCCAGTGCACAGTTGTGCACCTGATATGGACATGACGCTTGGTGATCCAAGTCGTCAGCATTGTTGGCCTCGGCCAAAAACTCTCAACATCATCTCATCAGATGGCACCTCCTTGAGACTATAAGAAACCATGAATATACATATAAACAGCGTGTATATGTATATATATATGTGTGTGTGTGTTATAGTGTATATATATATAAATATATTAATTAATTACATATATATATATATATTTATTTATTTATTTATTATATATAATTATAATTTGTGGCCACTGTTGATGGACCTTGTCTTGGGATGTCTTGGGAATAGTTTGGAGATCTTTGGAGCCTGTCATAGCCTGTCTCTTTCTTTCTAGTCAGCAAGTTTCACACTTTGGAGCCAGACTCCATGAGCCGAACTCCATACAATACTCTCTTCTAGTAACAAGTATAAAAACCAAAACAGTTGATGATTTACCGATCAAAAATGGTGGTTTTCCATGGTTTTCCATCGCCTTCAAAGGGTTCTCTGAAATTACCAGAGGGTAAATGGAAGCAAGTTACAATGACGGCACTTTTCTCACTGCCAAACAACAGTCAATGGACCAAGTTTGCTGTGGGATCAACTCACGTCAGAATCCACCACCGAACCACTGGAGACCTCACGGATCATCCCACCATTTGAGCCATCGCCAGGGGGCAGTAGAGTAGAAACAGCGTGATGGTCTCACTTCCGAAAGTTTGAGCCGAAAGCGAAGGTTGCCAATGCTTCACAAAGACCGCCAAGATAAGGATATAATATCTAATACAATATGTATGTATATATTGTATTCGACCCATGGAAACGAGGGTTAAAAACTACAAACACAACTATAGGCGAAATCATCACTGCGACATTGTACCGACAGGCAACAAGTTGGTTGGAGCCTAATCATATCTTCAGCTCTTTGATGTAAGTTTACTGGAGGTGTTTCCTGTCACACCCTGCCACCTCTTCTGAACGCCATCCACCTAGTACCCGCCCCGACAGAATCATGAAGAGACCAGGGATAGGATCGTTTCCCACAGACCAGGTGGACCCGCCTCATATGGCCATCGCTCGAAGGTTGCCACGGTTTGGCTTCCCACCTATGCCCAGCTGCCATCTACCAAACTTCAAATCGTCCACCAAACCCCGTCGAATTTCTTGTTTCAAGGTCCCAATGATTAAAGAAGCCTCTATTTTTATCATATACAGACAATGCAGATGGGTGTCCATGGCAATGTGGGAATCTGCAAAGGTTCCTAGCTCACCAGGATATGTTTTTGGCAACAATGTTCGGGCACAGCTGAACCGGCAGCTTTTTGTGCCAAGCAACTAGTTCTTCAGTCATCCATATTCCCTTCCCCTGAGATTCAATACCCCCCTAAAATCCATGTTTCAGTATCGGATCTGTTCATCTTCGGGTCCCCGTATGGCTACTACTTAATGTTCGGAAGATGGGATTAGATCAAATGACATTACCCAAATTTGCTACACCTTCCCCTCAGAGTCCACACCCAAAGGGTGTAGGAAAAGCTGAAGATGGGAGGTGTCCTTGGCATCAGGTGCCAGTCTTAAAAACGAGACTGGGGAGAAGTGTGATTCTTTGGCAATTGGAGATCCTGATATCTATTCTATATATGTAATATCTATTGTATAAATGTAATATCTATTCTATAAATGTTCTATCTATCTATCTATCTATCTATCTATCTCTATCTATCTCTATCTATCTCTATCTCTCTATCTATCTCTATCTATCTATATCTATCTATATCTATCTATATCTATCTATATCTATCTATATCTATCTATATCTATCTATATCTATCTATATCTATCTATCTCTATCTATCTCTATCTATCTCTATCTATCTCTATCTATCTCTATCTATCTCTATCTATCTCTATCTATCTCCTTCTATCTCCTTCTATCTCCTTCTATCTCTATCTATCTCTATCTATCTCTATCTATCTCTATCTATCTCTATCTATCTCTATCTATCTCCATCTATCTCTATCTATCTCTATCTATCTCTATCTATCTCTATCTATCTCTATCTATCTCTATCTATCTCTATCTATCTCTATCTATCTATCTATCTATCTATCTATCTATCTATCTATCTATCTATCTATCTATCTACCACTATCTATCTATCTATCTATCTATCTATCTATCTATCTATCTATCTATCTATCTATCTATCTATCTATCTATCTATCTATCTATCTATCTATCTACTAATCTAATCTACTCTAATCTAATCTAACCGATCTGTCTATCTATCTAATCTATCTGTCTATCTGTCTAATCTATGTAATCTATCTAATCTATCTAATCTAACGAAATCTAATCTATCTATCTAATCTATTTAATCTATCTAATCTATCTAATCTATCTAATCTATCTAATCTATCTAATCTATCTAATCTATTCTAATCTATCTAATCTATCTAATCTATCTAATCTATCTAATCTATCTAATCCTATCTTATCTATCTACCGACCTAACTATCCATCTTATCTATCTTACCCATCTTATCTATCGTATCTATCTTATCTACCTTATCTATCTCATCTATCTCATCTCATCTCATCTCATCTCATCTCATCTCATCTCATCTCATCTATCTATCTATCTATCTACCTATGTACATGTGTATATGTCTGCGTCTGTGTATGTCTATGTCTATGTATGTATGTGTGTATGTGTGTGTATGTGTGTATGTGTGTGTGTATGTGTGTGTGTATGTGTGTGTATGTGTGTGTATGTGTGTGTGTGTATGTGTGTGTGTATGTGTGTGTGTGTATGTGTATGCGTGTGTGTGTGTGTATGTGTGTGTGTATGTGTATGCGTGTATGTGTATGTATGTGTATGTATGAGTATGTACATATATGTATGTGTACGTATGTGTATGTAAGTGTATGTATGTGTATGTATGAGTATGTATTTGTATGTATGTGTATGTCTGCGTATGTCTGCGTATGTGTGAGTATGTATGTGTATGTATGTGTATGTATGTGTATGTATGTGTATGTATGTGTATGTATGTGTATGTATGGGTATGTATGGGTATGTATGTGTATGCGTATGTATGTATATTTATCTATTTTTTTCTGTCTGAAGAAGGAGAAAGGTCTTTGCCGGTTTCGTCTGCCAGGGGACAAATGGAGAAGACATCATCATCAAGGGTCCCTACGTGTGTGAATGAAGGCCAAGCTCTGCGAAGATTTACGCGGCACCACACAACAGCGTGGTGTCTCATGCAGCCAATCCAATCCACCAATGGGGAAAATCATGTATCTTAAATGTGTTCTTGTCTTTCCTCTAGTGAAACACCCCTAGTGAAACAAATATATCAATGGAATAAATTAGAATGTGATAAGCCCAATCATAGGGTATATCCAATAATAAACATCTAGGGTATATTCTATACTATTGGGCTTGTGGAACAGCAGAATCTTGGAATCCGCTTGGAAAACTCCGGAGCTGACCACCCAGAAATCCGGCGCTGGGCGACCAAACTCCATCCAGAGGAAGATGACCGAGTTGCCCTGGGGGGATGTTCCAAGGTCCCCAGCCATGGGACCTTGAGGATTTTTATGGATTTTTGGGCCTAAGAGCCAAGGTTCTTGGCCAAGATACATCGCCACTGTGAAACACAATGCAATCTTTCGCAGGTTCCGACTTTGCTGAGATTTGTTTGCTGCAACAAATCATAGATTTCCAAAACATCTTCAAGCAGAACAGATAAGTTTTGGTGTCAATTTCCTTGGTGTGTACGCCGAGTTGCTTTGCCGCAAAATATCTTCCACCAATTGCAGGGCATGGTCTCCGACATAGTGAGGGCACCCTCTATCCGATATCGTATGGTATATCCATGTATATCCGATAACATATGGTATAAAAATCCAAGTAAATGGCATATTGCCTTTTGTTGTCCCTTTCTGGGGTGCGACAGGCCTCTATGGCATCACCATCTCCCGAGGCGTAGAAACCTCGATCTACACAGCCAACCGCCAACCTGTCAATCAATCCATGTGTAAGACACGTTACATTCATGGGATTGGTTTATGGGAAAAGCTACAGGAAACCACCTATCATTGGTGTTTTTTTAACCCATGTTAGGTTTCCACTGTAGATTCTCCTTTGAACCAATCCATTGAAACATGCACAAGTTACCCACAACAAATGTTGTTTCCATGGAATGATTTCAGGGATAAGTCATAATCCCTGGCAGGAAACCATCGGGTTTTTCCATGGTGTTTCCATGGTTGTTCCATCGATTTTTCCATAGTTGTCCATGTGTTTTCCATGTTTTTCCATGGTTGTTCCATGTTTTTTCATTGTTTTTCCATGGTTGTTCCATGTGTTTTCCATGTTTTTCCATGGTTGTTCCATGTTTTTTTCATTGTTTGTCCATGGTTTCTCCATGTTTTTCCCACCCAAAAACTATGAGATTTCGGGTTTCCAAACGTTCCCTGAGATCAGGTGAGCGACGAAAGGCCACCGAGGCAAAGGGCCCCAGGCTTTGCCAAGAGCTTTCCCAACATCTCCTCCGTTTTTGAGCGCAACGGCAAGCGTATGGGGTGAAGGGATTGAATGGTTTCTACCAATATTTGATTATCTATGAATCTATTAAATACTTATATATATATATATATCATATAGATATACATAAGGTGCAGGTCCCCTAAGGAGCAGCATCCTTTTGTTGGTCCCTTGCAAAACAAAAAGTCGACAGGACAGCATGCACATAACTAATCATAAATATACATACACATCAACATCATTAAACATGATATATTTAATGATATATATATATATATAATATAATATACATATAATATATGTTAACATATATAGCTGCAGCTCGATTTTGATGCCTTCCATTTTACGAGCCGGACGTCTAAAGCCATCTGTTGGCCATGGACCTAGGGAGACTTGGTGATCCCAACGGTCTCCATGGTGGACCAATCCCAGTCTTTCCACCCTTTTTCTCCACCAATTCACATGATCTCTATATGTATAGTTTTGTGTTTGCATATCAGTGCGTAGACACACACACACACACATCTATCTATATATATATATACATAGGCACACCATGGCACACCTGTATATATATATATGTATAGTGTCTATATATATATACATATATCAGTATATCATCACAAGATATCACAAGCTTATTTCCAGTCATTCCAGCGTGTGACCTGCCCTGACGTATTCTCCTTCGAGGCTTTCGTCGAAAGCTGCCAGTTGAGTAGTCCTCCTGTGCCGAGGCGAAGGGTTCGCCTGAAAATGGGGTTTAAACGTACCCCGAAATGGCAATTGTTCGATGGGGAAAATGAGGTTTAAACCAGTGGATTTTGGGGACACACCATGACAAACCCATATGGAACTTGGCAGTCGCAACCATGATCATCAGAATTTTAGAGATGACTGACGAAGTCAGTGCATGGAGAACCCAACAAGAATCTTCTTCATGATCCCTTGGCCGTGCAAGTTGTCTCTTCAACATACATCATCTACTGCAAAAGAATCAATAACATCCTCCAACCAGTGGTGGAAAAACGAGATGCCTTTACACCTGAACACCTGCCCCAAATCCTATGCCCCTAAGCCCTAAGCCCTAAGCCCTGTCGCACCTGCGACAATCGCTGCCGCGCATGTGGAATCCACCACCGGGCCTCCACCTGAGATTCTGCGGCTGCCCGTGTGGGAGGCAAAAAGAGGCATACCATAATCATGATAATTCATGAATTCCCCTGGGAATTCACGGGCTAAAATGGACTCCCCAGTAGAGGAAATTCCAAGGGGGATATGATGTACGATTTTTTGGGGGGGAAAAGATTCACCTGGCAGAATACCCAGCAGCTCCGCAAAAAAACGTATACGGGGATTCCTGCGGACAAACTCTGCACTCCAATGCAGGTGATCAACACCGATAACAGGTCGACACATGATCCCCTGGGAGCCCGCCGGTTTTTGCAGCAGGCTCTCATCTGCAGTTGCCCTTAGCCAGGTCAATGGGGTCAAGCGTTCTCAAACTCGGCATGGTGAGACTTATTGGACAATTTCAGATCTCATGCGTGCCCAAATGTAGATTAAGTAAATAAAGCTTTAAGCGAGCATTCTCGCTTTTGAGGATTGTGGGATATTGTGGGGAATGTTCAACCCACCGAAGATCTGTGCGTGCTTGGGAACCTGTTCACGAATCTTTCAGTTTACTCTTCTGGGTCCAGCGCCCCTCAAGGTTTGCTAGTTTTGAAATTATTAAACTATCCAACTGTCAAGTTGATGTTTGTTAAAACCCTATATAGCGGTCGATTGAAGTGCTCAATTGTTTTAGGTTGAAATCCCGTATTGTTGTGGTTGAATACCCCAAAGTCAAGTAGGTTATATAAATCATCTTACCCTTCTTCCAACTAGAATAGACCCTGCCAAAAACGGGTTTGATAGACTGGAAGTCTACTTTCCACTCTCCTCAGAAAATATGCGCGGGTGGATAATAAATCTGATTTTCGAGCATCCCCATTCCCTGCGCTGCTTGGTGTATATGTAAATATGCCCATACAAATGGCAATTCATCAGCATTGAACTCATCCGGTTGGTTTTTACCCTTTTTTTCCACAGAGTTGGAAGTAACCATGGATATCCCATACTAAAATCTATCGGGTGTGTCATCATCTTGGATTGCCATTAGCAATGTTTTTTATCACATTAACATACATTAACCCCGTTCGATGGTTTTTTCTCACCCATAAGAAATGATGAAACTTTACATGATCCATCCCCAAGTGATCACGACAAAAATGGGTGGTATAAACATACCATCTCCAAAAGTCTGTCTCCAAATGGTAGTTGTTTATGGCAGCCAGGGGTTCCCATATTGTCTCCACTAAATCATCATTATATCCTATTAAATCCCATTAAATCACTATAAAAATCATACCCCATTCATAGGTTTGACAACATTTACCCCGACATTCTTGGGCCTTTCTTCACCCCCTCCAAGCAACTTCAGCTCTTCCATCAGCCCCACGGTGTGCCGCAACTTGGCCAGGTCTCGGCTATGCACCTGGCTGGCTGTGCGCAATGGGAATGAGAACAGCCCCGGCAGAACGAGCGATTCGGCCTTCATGCGATTCTGAGTTCCCATGGTCCTGACGTGGGCGCAGCTCAGCATGACTTATCGACCTAAATGTATGCTTAATGGTTATGGTCTATTTGTTTCATACTGACAATTTATAGGGAAAATTATTATATTGCTACTGAATTCAGAGGCTTTCATCTTGGCATTCATATTCACTCCCCTGAGCCCTGTTGTTGCTTCGAAAAAGCTCACAAATCTACTTTAGCTATGGGTCAAAACCTGGGCACAACAGCTGTTCACATCGAGTTTAACTGCTGCTCATGGAATGCTCCTCCCAGTTGGAAAATCACAGGGTTTACCCATCCCAAGATCCCATGATCATGATGCGTCATGATGGTTGATTTACAGTAAAATCCTCATTTGGGTTTCTCTGAAAATAGGGTATATTCCCAATGAAATAGCCATTTAATAGGGATTGTCTGATCAGCAAAACCATTGGGTTTAGGGGGGTACACAACATTCTCAGACACACCCATTTCGGATCATCTTTGCGCTTCGCGCTTCGGTCCTTGCAGAGGAACCCACCAGGCTTACCACTTCGCGGTGTTCTTGGAGGGTTTTCCACACCTCGGTCGAGTCTTGCTTCGAGCTGCCCCCCTGCGGGATCCATGGGATCCAGCTCGCGACGAGCGGCGAAGTCCATCTGCTTCCTCAATCGAGATCTGAGACGGCGGTAATCTGATTGCAAACCCATGACCTGAATGAAGTGCTGGTGTGACTACCTGGTAGGGATGGATATATGGTATTCTAATGTATTCTATATAATTGTGGTAGGATAATGTAGGATAGGAAGCCATGAGGGCATCAATCAAGAAGATTCTCTGGCTATGTGCAGGCATAGTTTTTCTCTCAAGCCAAATGAGTAATGACAACCCCAGATTTATAACCCTCCCTATAGGTCAACAAGGTCAACAACATTTTCTGGGGAGTTATTTAAAACACACACACACACCGGATTCACAAAACCCGCGACCATTGATGGGAACCGATGTTGCTGGAATTGGGCGCATATAAGCACCAATGAGGTGAGGTGTCAATTCCCGTGGAATTATACAGCTGCATCGTAGCATCATGAGGGTTCAAATCTGGTGAAATCAGTTTGGAATTAGTATCCATGGAAGGTCGGATGGAATGATAAGTAACCCAGAAAATTGCAGCCCCAATAAAAAAATAAAGCAGAATAATACTAAACTATAGTACCACGAAACGGTTGCACGCTCAATGCCAAAGTTTCGACAGTCTTGATACTTTAGCTATCTCAGCTAGAAAAATCTGGATCAGAGAAGGTATCTAATAACTTGGGGTGCTGAACCATCATTGCGGGGAACCACCTAGTTGACGTTAGTATTGCACCAAAATCCCGGGGTCATTTGCCAACCAGGCAATGTTTATTAATCCTACCCTGCCTAGATTGAAATGCTGAGTCCACCCTAATCTTTGCTGGTGAGGGGTTGGACATATGGAAGGCCCACACAAATCTAGTTCCATCGGCATATCACCTGAATTGAAAACCTTTCAGGAGGGTCACATTCGCCAATCGGCCTCACTTCAAATTTCGCGCAATTTTGGGGTCATAGCGAAAGGAAAAAGTGGCTGGAATCCACCGAAAACCAGGAATTTGGAGCCCCATCCGCTGCCAAAGGCTGCCGAACCTCTACCAAGTTGGTCGTTTCCTCCACAAAGTCCTGCCACATGGTGCAAAATCAGTTCACCACCCTTAGGATCTTCCACCAAACCCTGGTTTGCGATTGCTTTGAGGAGATCTGAAGGTCGATCTTATCTGATCCAAAAACGTAGAGAGGTTCTTAAAGACAAGACGGCGCCCTGATTTCGAAATGTGTTTGCATCAAATCTCCTGATTCATGGATGGTGAGTGAGTAGCACCCGACGGCCCAAAGCCATCAATTGCCGCAGCTTTGGCACCGAAGTAGCAAAACTGCATAGTTAATAGTGATGCTAAGCGGACTTCCGGACTCAGATTCTCTGGTAGCCACCTTCTATATGGCCAAATGCCATGCCATTCAGTTGGCTCATCGGGAGCCTCTCCTCAAAGGGGTCGTTCACTTCCTCCACCAAGCTGCCTGGAAAGACTCTCTGTGGCAGGGACAACTGGCAAACTTGGTTCGTCTTGGTTCATCAAAGGTCAAAGGGCCTTAACAAAAACGCCAAAAATTACTTTCTGAACGAGTGATCCCCACCAACTGATATTCATCTCACACGTATTTTGCCATCATATCTGGCATAAATCTTCTGACATTGCATCTGGCATTCTATCATATTCTATCTGGCATTCTGTTTGGCATTTTATCTGATATATATTTAAAAAAAAATAATATAAAATATACATTCTGACATTCTATCTGGCATTCTTTCTGGAATAAATATTCTGACATGGCATCTGGCATTCTATCTGGCATTCTGTTTGGCATTTTATCTGGCATATACATACATATATACATATATATGTATATGTATATATGTATATGTATACATATATATATATATATTCCGACATTTTATCTGGCATTCTATCTGACACCTGGGGCTCGCCGTTGAGGTCCGGCAGTGCCCACTGAGATGGTTGAGGAGGCGGAGGTGGAGGTAGAGGCGGAAGGTGGAAGGCGACAGGCGGCGGGATGAACCTCTGATAAAACCATGTAATTAAAACCTAGAGACCCTCACCAGGCAGTTGGGGAATTGTCAAATAATGCACATGAACTCATGCAAAACATCAAGGGCTTCATCTTTGCGCTTTCCAGACAAACAAAAGCCAGTCGCCAGTTGTATAAGCAAGTTAACATCTTTCAGAAATAGTTTGTTTCAAGGAGCATTCCCGGAATATCCCTTCAGAATCTCCAAGTTGACCGGTGAAGCAACTGTCCATAGTGAATCGCAACTCATCTCAAACATACGATATACAAACAGATAGAGACATAGAACAACAAAAACATATAAATTCCTCAAGTCAATCAGTAACTCAGTTTTTACTGAAACATATAAATAGAGAACTTCCCCTTCTATCCATATCCCATGACGGATCCATGGTGCTGGTATATATGCTAACATGACTGGGGTATATTAATGGGATCCATGGCACACCATATATGGCAGCACCATGGATCCCTATGGGGATTTCCACCCTCTCCCAGGCGCCTTCCAGGAGCTCCGGCTCGGGCGTGTCGGGCGATTCGGACGTTGGAAGCGGCTCGGCGAAGTCGGTACCCCCGAAGGCCACCTCATCTCCAAAACATGGGAAAAATCATCCAAGAGATACCATCTGGTTATTTAACATAGCCATGGAAAATCACCATTTTTAATAGGTAAACCCAGGTAAACCATCTATAAATGGGCCATTTTCCATGGCTATGTTAAATAACCAGAGGGTATCTCCAGAATTAGAGGTCTTTGATGATTTTGATATATGTTGATGATGTTTCGCTGGTTGGACCTGGTAAATGTTAGTAAGTTATGTCTATCATTTTCCTATATCATGTTGTATCACCATGGCAAATGACTAAATGATCAACACAGGGTCATAGTACCTATCCAAGGTTCACCCAGATACCTCCAAAGCAACACGGCTTTAGCTGTTGAATATGAGGATTGGAGCAGAAATTCACTGACCGCCTCGCTTAGGACTCACATGGAATAATCAGATTAAAAAGCGGCACAATGCTGTACATGTATACGTCCCAAATGAAAAAACCAAGCCTTATGGAGAAAACCCTGACTTTGCTGTTGATTGTAATCTTGGGACTTGGGACTAACCATGGTCCATGGTCATGTTCGTTTATCATGTTTATCCGAGATTGACCAAGTCTGTTGTGGAGATCCCACCGGGTTCCAAAGGCATGGAGGCATGGCTATGGAATTCGACGCAAGAGATTTGAAGAATTCATCCACTTCCAAAGTGTCCCTGACTTCACTTGAGGCAAGTTTAAAAGGAACAAGTTCTCGGATTCTTTGCAGACCACCCACCAAGATCACCAAGTTCTCGGCACCTTGCGCGACGTCCGTTTCTCGGGCCGCTTCGATGGGGCAGAACCTATCAGCCACCGGGAACTAACGGCTATGTCAACTGAACACATACTGGTCCATCGGCTTCAAAATATCCAAAATGGGATCCAATTAAATGGGATCCAAATGGCATATGAAAAACTATGGATTTTCCATCTGGATGGAAAATCCGTGGAAAACTATCGTTGAACTCTTTGCCCCGCTCGGCATTAATTGAAACTCCCGTGCCTTGTCCCATCGTCGCTGCGAAGCTGCCTTCTTTGGGCACCTTCTGGGCATGAATTGGGGCCCCCGGTCATTCCGTTTCATGGGCATCCATAAAATTCTGGTGTATAGTTCTACAATATTATATATAAGAGCAATAAAAATAACAATAATATACAATAACAGCAATAATAACACTATAACAATAACAATAATAGTACATAATTAACAATGACAATAATAATATATAATAATTCTATATAATTATCATTAATTCTATATAATGTAAATCTCTAATGCACCGATGACCGACGACCATCCCCCAAAATGGGTGTGGTCGTAATCTATCTTTTGACCCGCCTGCGCACTCAGCGATGCAGATGGACGTGACATGGGCCTCATGCAATGGCCCAGCACCCAAAATGATGGGTACCCAGGCAGGTGCTTCACATTTTGACGCTTGAAACTACCAAAAGAGAGAGAAAAACAAATACAAAAGACAGTTCACAAGCCCACTCATGAAGGATGCATTCCTCTATATCAGTCGCGGTTGCCTGCGACAAAGATGTTGATCGGGTTCACAATTGCAAGAGCGTCAAACCGCCCCAGAACCCTTGGCTTCTTGTTCTCTCTAGTCATTTTTCTTGGCAGGAATTGAGTGCTTCAGGAGCCAACCATCTTGAGGGCCGGCTTCTTCAAAGGTACTTCGAGGATCTGATCAAGCTATGCTAAATGATGCTCAATGTAATCCCTCCATGTTGTAATTTCATATCTTTTTGGAGTACTCCCAGCCCCAGCTCCATCCCATCTCCACCCCCATCCCGACGGAAATCCGGCCGAACGGCTGGGGTCTCATCACCTCTCGCACCTCAAAACGTGCGGCGCCAGGTGTGGCCACGGCAGCCTGGAAGATCTGAGAGATCTCAGGGATGTGGATGGTTTTTCATGGGGGTAATATGGTACAAGGTGGTGCCTGTGATTTATAACTTATGTTATAAGTATGGTTAAGTTGATTTATAAAAGGGGTTAACTTATGTTGTAACTATACGTAACTGATGTTAGAGATATATCTTAGTTATGGATTTATAACATAATTTAAGTAACTTAAGTTGAAAACTTAAGACTAAGATATGGGGAAGTTAGCGAACTTAGGTTTTGCTATGTTATTTTTTGAATTTGTATATGTTGATTGGGAATTCCAATGATATTTGGTACACATGAAGCTGTTTTGTCTCAAGTTTGTGTCGAAAGTAGCATTTTGAGGTAGGCGATGGCAAATGTGGCTGTTGGAGCAGATGCATTGCAGCCTTTAGCTGCTGCAACTGTTAGGCAGGAAATGCAGAATTGGGTCTCATTTCCGAATTTTTGGTTGGCTCATGGGGAAAATTGGGACATGAATGTTTCAATGTTGTATGCAATATGTTTTCATTCCAATGGAAAACGCGAAAAACACAATGTGTTCTAAATGTGTTCTAGTGTGTCCTAGACATCCGAAATATACTTAAATTTGTAGTTAGAACGCGTATGTGTTCTGTACAAAACCATGTAGAACGCATATGTGTTCCTACACTCCCGATAAGAACGCGTTTGTGTTCCACCACTATCATAAATGTGTTCTCTGCAGCCGTCTCTCGCACCAAAAACACATTCCATTTCTGAGAGAGATGTTGAACCACCGCAGCATTTTTTCACATCCTCAAGTTGTCCTGATCCCATACCGGTGCAGTGACATGGCAGCCATGGATGAGATGCTGGCGGCCACGCAGCTGGTGGCGCCCTGGCCATCAAAATTACATTTTCTGCATGCCTTGAAGGAAAAAAAGCTGCTCGCGCCATGGGTCCAACCTCAAACCGTTAAATTCATCGTGAAGACAATAAAAATTAGCCCTAAAGAGCCATTTCAACAAACTAAAAACTTAGCGAACTTATAAAATAGATATAACTTACTTTATATTTTTTCTAACTTAAGTTATGTTAACTTCAACCTATCTTCAATAACTCAACTTATAAATTGCATAACTTCATCTTATCTTGCAGGCACCACCTTGTAATACGGGGTAATTTGGGACTAGAACACCAATAGTATGGAGATATGGGATTTCAAGGTACAATGTAATAGTTTCTGGCATTATATGAATATGATCCGAACATCCGAACAAGTGGATGAGTTGGATAACAATGAACGCCAACACCAAGAGAACAGCAATGTGGAGTATCAGTGAATATCATAGTATCAGTAGCTATAATCAGCCACCTGGAGATTTGGGTGAATCTGAAAATGGGCAATCTTTGTGGAGAAAACGATTGATCAACCAGTTGGTTTGGGGATACCATGACTTTTGCCATCAAAACCTGGCTCTTTTTCCCTGCAATTGGTATGATATCATGGGCCTCATGGGGATCCAATCAGTTGGAAGTTGCTTCCGATTCTATCCTGTATTGAAATCTACCATGGCGGTCATGAATCACGGATGAAGATGGTGACAGATTGACAAAAGCTCAGATTCTTCCCGTATGATCTGTACCCTCTGGTAATTTAACATAGCTATTGAAAATGACCATTTATAGTGGATTTTCCCATTAAAAATGGTGATTTTCCATAGTTACGTTAGTTTACCAGAGGGTATGTCTTTCAACCTGTGGACAAAAGCATCAGGATAAGCGAGACCACCCATCTCACCGTACCAGCAGCGACACGGTCCTTCAAATCCTCATCGCACAACAGCGGTCGACACGTGCCATCTTCGCAAACGCTCAAGAGAATGACCTGTGGATTGCGAAAGATATTGGGCAGTGGATCAGCAAAACTGTGTTTGAATCACCATGAATCACCACCGCACCGGCCCGGCAAGAATTTCGCTCTTCCAACACACACAAAGATTGGTGGAGAATGATGACAACGGACGCTGGACTCTGGACTGTCAAAATCCCTTTTGTTTGGTGACTTGCTTTGTGAGGGATGCGCTTCAGCATGCTTCAGCTCTCAGTTTTGGCTCAGCAAACCGCAGCTGTTGTTCTTAGTCTGTTGTATTTCTTAGTGGATGTTAGGCCTACATATGCCTACGACATCTAAGATATCCATAGACATCCTAAAAGGCCAACTACCAGCCTGAAGCACTTGGCTGGTGGTCAAAACAGATACGTATGAGACTTTGGGATGATGCTAAGCAGTGCTGCTATTAGTTCTAGTCCTGGCACCTGAAACATGAGAAAAAAAAGGAAATCTTTGCGCATCTTTGCGCAGCAACTTCCAATTGCTGGGGATATTCCAAGATACTGCACCTAGGCCCCACTCATGATAGAATGTTGTGGAACAGCTTATCAAACGCCGAATGTTTGGGGGTCTCCGGAGCTGGCCCAACCACAGCCTCCCGATTTGGCGCAAGATGTTCCTGCACAAGTGATGGACAATCCCCCCGAAGAATGAAACTGAAAGTGGCAAGTGGCCACAATAAACGACCCATAAAATCTTTTCAATAAGCAGGCTTGAAAGGTGATGTTACTCTAACAATCCTCAAGTGTTTGGCATTTTGGACCTGGACCTTATGCAAAGCCATGACAGGCATAGGGGATAAAGCTGGAGCCCTCCCATGTCCTTCAGTGCGTCGACAGAGCTTGTCAAGGACATGGCGTGGAAATCTGCTCCACTTCTCCCGTGAGTTCTCTCTTCAATTGGTGGAGAACAGAAAGCCACTTAAATATTAACCTGGGGGTTCTAAACAGTTTGAGTTTGCTGGACAAATAGTTCATGACTCAAATCAGGAAGGCCTCCCTTCATCTGCTCATATGTGATCATATTGGTGGTCCGGTCCTTTTTTGGGTGGACATTGGAATATACAACGAAGCATATATTAAATATTATTATAATATAATACCTATATGTGGCTCGACTTGTGGAGCCGCCTGAGCCAGCACAGTTGATGTCACTATAGGAAATCCAAGTTGAACAAAGCCATGGGAAGTCAGTTTCCAACATTTAAAACATCATGTAAAATGCAGTTCAAGTCATTCCTAGCATTTCCTAGCCATGTTTGTTCATTCTCTTAATTAGGTGCCAATATGGAACTGGGAAAGCGATCGCATTGGCTCCCAAAAGATGCAGCACAATCAGTGGAAACCTTCCCACCGCCGTGCCAGATCTGATGCACAGCGCAGTTGTTTTCCTAGTTCTTGAAGCAAATGCCAGGACTGCCAGCGGCCCAAGCAGCTCCTGCGGGGTTGCAGCATCAGCGTGCCCTGACATTGCTAGCGTACGTTTGGACTGATGAGTTCAATTACAAGGGGCACCCCACATCTTCCAACGAAATTTATATCACGTTGATCCATACCAGAAAGATCCACTGGGTTGAACCATTGGGATTGAACCATTGCGGCACTCCTTGCTTTCTGGAACATCCTTGCAGTTCGGCTTTGCATTTGGCATCAATTGGAATGCTGTCTCAGGGCAAAGTTTGGGGCAGTCTATAGTGGGATGAAGTTCTCTGACAACAGAAACGACTGTGTGGAGCTTAGTACGGCTACTTGGCATGAGACCAATGTCCTTGGCAAAGCAAGGGACACTGTCGTAACACCACATTCAGCACCCCACCTGCTTAGTTGCAAAGCAGCAGGTCTATTTTTGATTCAAGCGTTGAATGGCCAACTCAAAGTTCCACTTCATCTTCTTCGGCTTCCTCCTCCTCTTCTTCCTCATCTTCCTCAACTGCCTCAAACAGTGGCTCCTCACTTTCCAGCGACTCTCTGGACCCAACCTGATCCACACTACCCTTCTTGGCTTTCCTTTGAGGCGCCGGCGCCGGAGCGGCTCGGGCCTTTGGAGCCTTGGGCGTGGGTGGCGTCACCTTCTTGGGCTTGGAGGGCCTCGCCTTGATCTTCGGCGAAGCCTTCAAGGCCACAGGGCTGCTGTGATCCAAACAGGCCTGCAGGAAGACTTTCGCACTGCCGGCATCCAGACTCTGCAGGAAGAAGCCTCCGTAGCTGGAATTCCCACCTGGCACGTCCTCCCGTGTCAGGCACAGCACATCCGCACCGCCCTTTTCTTTGTTTCGGGTGGCCATCAAGCCGTCTTCCAGCTTCAACTGCCAAAAGGATGTATCTAAGGTTACCATCTGCAGGGCGCGAAAGCTGGAGTGAAGCGGTTTCAGCACATTCGTGGCCGTGTCCCTCTGCGCCTGGTTCTTGTGGCCAATCACCACGCAGGAACGACGCGATGTGCAGGATCCCGTCCACTGTTTCAGCGCGTCAATGCGGACCTCGGGTGAGATTGAAGGTAACCACTCAACTGGTGCGAACGCGAAAATACGTTCAAATACGATGAGGATCGATAAAAACAATTGGAAACATCCACCCCAATAGGTTTGCCAAAATAGAAGACCATGCAATACACACGCTCATGCACATATATATATATATATATACATATAAAAGGGGGAAAAAACACGCGGAAAGCTTCACCAGGGAGCACCAGGACCAAGGCACTATCTCCAAAGCCAAGGCAGGTCGAAGTCTCTTTTCCAGGTCCTCACCCTTGGAAATCCCTGTAAGGCCCAAGGTCCTTGGCTTGTTTCCATTGGCCACCACGAAGGACAGAGGAGGTTTCAAGTTCAGCTTGAAGCGTTGTGCCACGCTTCGACCACTGGAAGTAGGCTCCCAGCATTTCAAAACCCCCACGCTGAGCCCCAAATTTCGCCACAGACTTCGGGCATTTTCCTCCAGCACTGGAGGTAAGCGATAATTCTCCTGGTCTGGTTGGTGGTGTTTTTTTCCCCCGAATGGCCGAAAAAAGTGACTCACTAAGTCATTGTCGTTCCATTTGGGGATACAAACAAAAACCCATCCTGAAAGCACCAACTAGAATCAACTACAGTATAGCTATAGATACCTATAGTAATTAGGTAATGTTACAGTAGGTCCCCTGCCCAATGTGGGGCACAACCAGCTCCAAAATATCAGCATAATAATGCAAAATATATCAATATCCAAAGATGTGGAAAACTTCGGTTCAAACATCAGGCAAAACATGGTAAAACCGACCATCATACGTTGCAAGCCCATTGGGAAACTAACCCGGAAGTGGAAAAACAATTTTCCGTTTAGGAAGTCCATCTCAAGATATGGAATGTCCATAAGTTTCCACTTTCAGGTCAGTTGCCGAAATGTGTTAAGCTCTTTTTATCTTTATAGTAAATTTACTAAGAATGATTCAGGTTTCCATCGAAAATCATCCAAAAATTACGTAGTTTACCTCCCATGGGAATTCCCAACCCCCTTTGTTGGGGGCTCTGAACTCCACCCAGGCGCTGTATCTTGGTTGACACAATACACCAGCCACGGCTCGCCGCCAAAGAGCACCGCCTTCAGCTTGGCCGTGTCCTGCACGTCCAGCTGAACGATGCCATTGCCCACGATCACATCAGACATGGTGAAGAGAAAGGAGACGAAGCCAACTCCACAAATGAAGACCTGGATGCTTCCAGCAAGTAGTAATTAAAATGATGTACATAGATGTAAATACATGAGCAATAAATGTAAATATGTGTGAATATTGCAAGTAATTCTCTGGGTGAGGACCCCCAAATGAGCCTAAACACTAAAGATAAGAGTTCGATTCAAAGGGGTACCAACCCATAAATACTAACATCCATTAACCTATTAACAGGACCTCCACTCCACAATGCCCACAGCGGTTGCGACTGGACTGATTGCAGGTTGCCCCTCTTGGAAACTACGAAAACATATGGAAAACTATAAAACAGTGATTGAAATCGGTCAGAAACGATGAAGAACCATCCAGCAGCTTGCTGTTTCCATGAGGTTTTCTCGGGTTTGGCCCGATTCTTCATCGCCTTCCTTAGATTTGCTTCAGAGCGCCAGGACAAATCTCGAAAATCTCACGGAAAACAGGTCTCAGTTGTAAGGTGAATCAGAATCAACCAGTGGGAAATCACAGAAAACATCATAAAATATATGACAAAACATGACAAAACATGACAAAACATGACAAAACTATCCAAATCCAGGTTTCTTGATCTCCCTCTCTTGTTGCCGTTCCTTGTGACTGGGGCCTTTCCATTTTGCGGAATCTTCCACCAGCTGCTTCTGTCCCACCTTCAGCCTCTCGTCATCCGGGTCGATGTACCCAGCTTTTTTGCCCATCTGCAAGAGACGAGGGCCTCTTTAGGCACAAAAAGGAACAGAATTTGGATGCTACATAGGGCTTGGCCGAATCAAAGCTGCGTTAGATGTTGTGTCAGTGTATGTCATGTGAAAAATGAGAATTGCTATGGCGCTGGCTCCATGGCATCATTATCATGTGAGCTACAATTCTTGTCTGGACACCCATTAACCGCATCACCGCATCATCCAAACTCGCAGGCCCCAGATATCCCAGATCAATCTCTGTAGTTATTCTGTTTCGCCATCCCCCCCACAGATCACCGCAGAAGTCACAGCAACTATTTTCCCCAATGGAACTCTATTCATGAATTGGGCTGGGCCCCCAGATGGTGGAGGTATTGAACTATAGGGGGAGGATTCCACTCGTCATGCCATAGCTCCCCGCGGACTTTCTTATCTTTGGCGCACAGCCGCGTCAAGTGGACATCGCGGAGAGACCGGCATCGTTGGCCATCACACCACGTTCTCCTCGAAGCGTTCGTTCAGAAATCCCCAGGAACCGTCTAAACCTTGGACGGTCGAAGATTATTGGCTGGAAAATCCATGTGTAGATCTACTGTGCAGTATGTTGTATGCCTTGGAAAGAAGGATGTCAGGTGCCTAGGGCATCCCAGGGCTCTCCAATTAGGGTAGTCTTCATCTGTTTTCCGTACAGAAAAAACATGGAACAATTAGTAAAACAAGATAGCTCAAGTAGCTGGAGTAAAAAGTGATGATCATGTCATACATGTCTATGTCATGTGTCACTTGAGACAAATCATGGATGATTCTGATCACCATGATCACCACAGTCGACATATCCAAAACAAAACAGGAAGATGTTGTTACCGAAGAAGCACCCGCGATGATGGGTAGTTTAGTTCTTACAAAATATCTGCGGTTTTAGGGGTACCCCATACTCACGATAGACAAACCCAAATAGTTGACATCTTGAAGCCCAGGTACCAATTTCCGTCTTCAGAGGCCGAAAGGGATTGTCACAGACCTCCAGGGCAGCGGTCTGCATGGTCGCATGGTTCCCTTCAAAAATCGTTTGGTGCCAAGATTGAAGTTCTCACTCCCACAGAAAGTCCTACCTGCCATTGAATCGGGATGATCCGCACTGGAATCTGGAAATCCATGGAAATCCACTGTGGCCTCCTGGAAGTTCTTGTCGGTGATGACCCAGCGTGTGCTTGCGCGGACCCGATTGATACCTTGCCAGCTGGTTCAAAGCAAGTGCACGTGGGTCGGTCAAAAAATCGAAAAAAGAGACCTTCCTGAGCTTGGCCACTTCTGGTCTTGATATGTTGGTGGTTGACTGGTTGACAATTAAACATATTCTCAACCAAATTTATGATCAATATGATCTACCCTTTGGTAGTTGAACATTGGAAAATTATGGAAAATCACTATGTTTTACAGCCACCCTCTGGTAATTCAACTAGTCGCTATTGAACATCGCCATTTTCAGTGGGTAAATCCAGTATAAATGGGCAATTCTCAACAGCAAACTGTTAGTTTACCAGGGAGGATCGCCAGGTGACGTCGGTGGTTTTGGTGCACCGTGACGCAGGGTGGCTGCAACACCACCTGCCGGGCACCAGCCGCGCGCAAACGGCAGTGGATCAGATCATCGGTCTGCCAGTTCTGGGCCACCTGATCAGGAAATCCATTGGCAAATCAAGGATATAATCCATATTTATCCATATTCATATATATATATATAATATATGAATCCATATTTATCCATATATATATATATATGTGTGTGTATTTAGGATTATATATGTGTGTGTGTGTGTGTGAATATTTAGGATTATATATATATATGTGTGTGTGAATATTTAGGATTATATATATATATGTGTGTGTGTGTATTTAGGATTATAGATATATAGATATAGATATATGTGCGTGTGTGCGTGAATGTGTATATATATATATGAATATTATCAAATATGAGATGGTGCAAACATATTATAACATCATATATAACATATAGCTACAATGCTACAATGTGTGCGTGTGTGTTTGTTTTCGTGGTAGTGATACATCCCCATGTGCGGAAGGCAATGTATGCACATATAATTGGATAATTTATACTTCACCACGCTGAAACAAGTCTGTTCCATCCTGACTGTACCCCTTGAGCGACAGCGAGGCATCCTGTTTTGGTTCTGACTTGTTGGCAGGATGTCAGGGGTGAAAAGGTCTGAGATTCCTCTCTTCATCGCCAACTTGGATGTCGCAGTGAGTTTGTTATGATTCATCCGGATGTGGAACGAGGTTAGTCAAAGGACCATAGTTTCCCATTGCGATCATGACATACACGATCAAATCATTTAACAAGGGAATAACCATTAGAAACCTTTTTGAACAAGGTAATTATATGTAATTATGATGCGGGGTGCAGTGGGCTATTACCACCTTATTTTGGAAGTTGCCTAAACCGCCTAAACCCAAGACCCATCTGAGTGAGTTCGGTGTTTCCGGGAAGCCGAGGATGCCGAGGTCTCAAACGCCCATAAAACCCATGAAAATGTTCATCAGGATTTAAACCAATTATACATAATTAGGCATTGTTTCTTCCTGGGCGTATCCAACCATAGGCAGTGTTTCTGCCCATGCTTTTCACTTTCAGATGGGTGCCAAAAATCAGTTTGACATGTAAAAAGTATTCAAAAGTGACCATTCTTAGTATTGAGATCTATGATTCAGCATGTGAAAGCCATAGCATCCACTCTTTTTGGTGACTGGTGATACCTGGCCTCAGGATAGCCGCGCACGCTGAGGATCAGTTGGCGACTGGCCAGGACGAAGTCACCACTCCCGGCCCAGTAGAAGGGCCGAGGGCTGCTGGGCACCTGAGACCAGACATGAAGAACTTGGGAAGGCAGGATTCCAAACAACAAGACAAACATAGACATAACATGACAATCATGAAAAATCTTGGGTCAAAAATAAATAGCCAAGTTCCGCAAGTTCAATATGTCTGATCTGGATCTTCAATTATCAAGAGATTTTAAGACAATGTTCATGTTCGTACCCCTGAGCCTTGGGTTGGTGATTCGCTGCCGCCGAGACACCTCACCCTGCCTTCCCTCGCTGCACACGTTGGCATCTTCCTCACGCAAACCCGGCAAGAGGAGAACCACAGACATGTGTGCAACTCTCAAAAAGGACAGCTAACATGGTGATTGGCCTTGAGAACAAAGCACCTTCTAAACCTTTTAGGATGCATATGGATGTATATGGATGTATTTTCAAATTGTCAAGACCATCAGCACAGGTTTGCACTTATCAACCCATGTTTTGGACCTGTGGCTGAGAGAACCTTCATATGACAAACGACCTCCCGGTGGTTTTCAAGGATTCCAAGAAGCTGGATACTTTGTGCGTAAATCAGCCATCTCCAGATTCCTCAAGCCAGGAGGGCTTCAAAGCAAAGTGCGGCATCCAAAGGCACCCTAAATGTCAATTTGATGGTATGATCACTGGAACGATCCACACACACATACATGGAAGAAACACTTAGCCAATCTCAATCCCTATCAGTGGCCAGAAGGAATCAATCCATGGGTTGGCCAGAGATCTGATATCTATGAATACCTTTCAGATTCTATGTTGTATTTAGTCTGGTGCGACCAAAAATGCCTAAAAGTTTCTTCGCATGCGAGGAGTGCCCAATTCTGGGACTTGGGTACTGGTGTAGCTTTAAGCCCTCAACAATTGCAAGTGATGCTCCATCTGAACGAGCAACCAGCCCATGGACAAGTATCCCTCGCGGATCAACGGGGATAATCTGCTGATGCTGATGGATTCATGAGGACCCATCAGCATAGCATTGGAATGTCTTGGAACAATCCCCTACATACCAGATAGCACCATGGAGATTGCTGATATAATTTGATATGACGATCATGGTTGACCATTTCAACGCTCAACGCAACAGAAACAATAAAAAAGGCCATGGGTCAAAATTCGGGCACCGGCCCAGAATTTATTGGGCGTGCTGAGTATTAAGCATCAAATATCATATAATATACCATCTGGTTATTTAACATAGCCATGGAAAATCACCATTTTTAATAGGTAAACCATCTATAAATGGGCCATTTTCCATGGCTATGTTAGTCATAACCAGAGGGTAATATAAATCAGTCATTTTGGTGCTTCAATCTTTTTGAAACATATCCAACTCCAATGGTTTATCATCTGATTCCATGGTAGCCCATGTATGCCAGTATTATATGGCCATTTTGGTGCTGTACAGCGGCTACACCCGAATTTTCAAACAAAGCCATATTAGACTTGGTGGCTCACCAGAGCTGGAAAGTATTTTATAAGCCAACTACAACTGGACTATGTATATAATCCTACTAAGCCTTCTGAAATAACAGGGGTAAGTAAATCCACTGACTCAGAGGCATCAACCACCAAGCAATGTGTTATTGCATAGATCACCCCATATGTGCTGTGGTATGGCCATCCCACCATCATGAATGGGAATCCTTTCTTCATGTTAACCCCTCCCAATCAGGAGATGACCGTTCCCCGTTCCATGGTCAATGTCACAAACAATGGGGGCCGCAAACCCTCCCACTTTGGAGGTTTAGGGCATTGGGGATAACTTTTGATTTTAACTGGTTATACGGTATATCATATCTATGTCTATATCCAATTAAATCCGTTAAATCCCTATTTTTCATGGTTAAATCAAATTGTTTCACCCATGTCTTGGCCCATGGCAGCTGCTTTTTTGGACTTCCCAGCGGCATTCCAGTGATGATCTCCTCCCGGCTAAAGAGCCACTCAATCAGCTCGTCTGCGGCCTTTCCTGAAGCCGTGTGGGTCAGGTGTGGAGGCTGCGTACATTCAAAAATCTCTCGTGGCTTCTTATTTTTCAGGAAAAAATGGAAAAGAACAAGGGAAAAATATGTCAGCTGTCAATTGGGATTTTCCCCAAGATCGCATGCTTCAAGTTTGTGAATTGTAGTCATTTGCCAAGATGTGGATAAGTGAGATTGGGGGACCAGGGAATGTCCCAGTAATAGCTCGGTTCTATAACCCTGCTCAATCACCTCTTTCTCATTCGTAAGGTTTAGGGTGAAATATCTACCATCTACAGGTTTAAAAACCCATAGGTGATGGCAAAAGACATGGTCGACCGCACTGAAATCGACGTTCTGAACTGAAAGGGAGTAAATAAAAATGACAAAAAAAAATCAAGTTGAACAACTGCTCATTGGGAAAAGAGCACAACCAGAAAAGAATCACGCAATTTTCCCAAATTTGGATTGTTCCCAGCATCACTTCCGTTGTGAATGTGGGACGCTAGTGGCGAGTTAACTGTTCACTATATATATATATATACGGTATACAGTAGATACAAGCACACATTGTCACGTTCTTTGTCCTAAAAATAGTTCGGTACGTGACGCACCTGTAAATCGCAGATACATTGGCAACCGTTTACAAGTGGTTAAAGGTGGGTGTGCCCTTCGCAGATCGCATCTAAACTGAAAACGGACACAACGAACGAGTCGAAGGGTGCATGGTGAAACCATTTCCATCCATTTCCTAAGATAAACCCTATATATATATATATAAATGTTCCTATAGAAACAGTTTAAAACACCCATTTAGACTGGCTTTAAAATTCCAGCTGCTTAGCTCTGAACTGTCGAACTGTCCCAGTTTCCCTCGGCTTCAGGGCATGTCACATCATACTCCATATACCTTGGGCCACCGCTGCGGACGGCTTTCCCTGAGATGTTTGACCCATGCCATGAATCAGACACGTTGGAAAGCACATGCTACGTCCGTTAATCAAGATAATCAAGACCAAACAAAATCAGCACCATGAACCTTGAAAAACAAGCAGGTATAGCAACCTGAACGAACCAGAAAAACCCTGCAGGAACCAAAAGAAACACTCAGCAAATTAGTGGTGCCACATGATGATTTTCATACCATTCAATTGCTGCAATTATGTTGGCTGTGTTTTAAGAGTCTGCCAGCCGATCCTCAGAACTGCTTGCTCTACAGTCTCAAGACTCTTGGACCCAGCCAAAAAGTATTCTGTCGCTATTGAAAAAGTCAAGACCTCGATGCCGCGAACCATGGTGAACCATGGTGAACCTCAATAGCTGGCAGCTGTTCATCCCCTATCATCCCCTCGAGGGTATCATAAGCGTATCATAGGTCTTCACCCATCCCCTTATTGCTTGGGACATGTCAGGATTGCCGGCCGAGGCCTAAACCCGTGCCACGGATGCCAAGTGACGTTGCCCTGTACACAACTGTAGGGTCCAATTGCTGCCGGGCGATAAAGAGAATCTGCAGCTCGGCTGGGTTAAAAACTGTAGCATGGGCGTTTGCTACCAGAGTGTGGCTCATGTCCATCCAGTTGACAACGCTCCATGGTATTCCATGGTAGATATATGATGATATATGGCGTTGCGTCCGAAGATCCCTTCCAAGATTCCAAGCCAAACACACATTCTGGGCAGCTACCTGCAATCAAACTTGATCTATGGCTCCCCGAATTGTTGGCGGCAGTTGGGACCATCTTCCCACGTACGGACCATCTTCCCAGGTCACCAAGGGACGGTGTCAGGGGCGAGGATATTGTCGATGTTGGTCTTCAGGATGAACTTGCCTTGTGCCAGTCATCTCTGCCCATCCGCCCCATGCCCAACACAAATCCCTAGTGATATCATGGGAATGGCATGGTACACCTTTGATGGCAGCAAAAATGGTGCGTTTGAAAAAGAATACGCGCATGCATGTATGTTTACACACATTTAATACGTATATTTATATATATATGTGTGTGTGTACACATATATATATATATATACACATATTACATACTTTATCGTGCCAATCCTAAGCCATTGCTTCCGGCTTTGGGAATCACCGACGGCACTGGCCCCAAGACTGTCCTGTCGCCCGCCTCGGGCTCTCCTGAAAGCCACATTCTCTGCGGTGTGCTCGAAGATGGGGTGTGCCTCGGCTGATCTGCGATCCATATCTTCATTCAGTTGAAAAGCATTGAAAAGCGCGTGTCTGCAAAGGTACCAGGAATATTTGGAGTCCATTATCAGCTCTGCTGGATGATGTGGTTGTTTCTTTTAACGGACAATTGGACAATTCATGATATTTCAGGATACTTCAGGTTCATTGCGGTTCGGTCAGGGCTTGTGGCTCACTTCGCGGCTCTATGGATTCTCCCACAAACAACAACAATAACATACAGTGCCCGTGGTCAAACATCCCCCGGATCCTCCTGTGCCTTGTGATGCGGCATCGACATGTGTATCGCCGTGGGCACTTGGATCACTCGAATGGGCACCGTCTCCTGTGCCAATCCATGAAAATCTAACATGGAAATTCCACCATTCTCATGATCATCATGATGATGATGATGATGATGATGATGATGATCACCCCATGATACCCCCACTTCACCATACTTGGCCCCCAGGGCTCCATTCCGGGCTCTCGCTGAATCTCTTCGTGGATCGCCGCCGCGTTGAAGACCGGGTTCCATTCCTCGGCGGAACCGCGTAGAAACGACGCTGAAAACGGCCCATATTCGGCCCATGTCCCAGTGATGTGGTTTGGAACATGCCTTGAAACTTTTAAAGAAACAAATTCAGTATAAGATATAGTATATAAGAATAAGAATGTAATGTAAACCAACTGGGGCTGATTTGCTGGTCATGTGCAGGTGCGTCGGAATTGATGTCAAGGTAAAATGTGTAAAATTGCAGGAAGGGCTCTGATTCAGTAAAAAAAGGCTTCCTACAGTTTCTCTGTTTAACTAATCCAGTGACAGTAGTATTGAAATGCCGTCACTGAGCACTGCTGACTTGAGACTGGTTTGGGCTGACCTGACCTTGTGAAATTGTGTGCCTCACCAAGCCTTCATCGTTATTCCATACCAATCAACCAGGGTGTTGAGATATAAATGTATTTATATATTTATATATGAATAAATGTATCATACATTTACTGTATGATACTGTATGACATGAACCCCCCGACTTCTCAATTCTGGTCCTTTTGGCGTCTGTCATACCAGATGTTTTGAAATGAACCGATTATGATGCGATTCCAGATTGCCATTTTGGCCCTCCAACCGTCAACTTTCTGTGTTCCCTCCTGCAGTTCAGCTTCGACGATAATAATTTCGGACGGCACCCCGGTGGTGTGCAGCATCCGTCCAGTGGTGGCCAACATCCGATTCAGTCGCAGGAGCATGTGTCCACCGTAGTCATCGTTCCGGCACTGCACAATGACCGTCAAATACAGATCCTCTAGGGGGTTGCCCTAAGGAGTGAACATGATTCCTGTTCCAGGGGCGCCACAAGGTTCCAAGCTGACCGGATCTGCCTTAAAAGTTCAAGGTTTGCAATTCCAGGATAGCATCCTTAACAAAATAAGTGAACCATCGAATCCCGAAAAATCAAACTCCCAATTTCAGCCAACATTCCGTATGCCCCCGATGCTTGCTGGTGCTATCCCTGTGGTTTTGACATGAAACATACAAACATGTTCTGAGCGGAGCAGCTCCTCTTCTTCCGCAGTTTCGATGATAGCATCTGCGTGCAGTGCACGTGGTTCATCTTGGCTGTGTCGGACATTTGCTACATGATGCTACATGCAGCACAATTCACAATCTGCATATCTCCGGTAGTGCCTGCCCCTCTGGTGCTGGCTATTGTTTTAATTACCCAAACTTGGGTATAGCCATATCATGGTATAGCGCCAACAAACATTAGAAAAGAAAGTCATGACAACTTTCCTTGGAACTTTTGCTTGAGCCCAGTAGCTGAATGCATGGCCCTTTGCCAGTTCCACCTCTATGCTGCGCCTCGGATCACCAAGCGCATAGGGCTTCATCGGTTCGCCGGATTACGTGGATGCAGGAGGATATCGACACAAGCACAGGCTACCACCTTTGAAGGCTGGCATGGGTCAAATCCTCCAAAATGCCAGGCCTTTGGGCTTCGATACCTGCCCTTACATCATTGAAGAGTGACTAGTGTGACCATGTGTGACCATGTTGTAGCAGAATCCTCCGGGTTTTGGCCCATGGTTGGGCCCAAAATGTCCGGCATTCAGCCCACATTCAGCCCGAGGCATCAGGCGCCAAAGTGGCCATCGGCTCCTTTGCAGTTCTGGGAAGCTTTGGGAACCAGAGCACTATAAATGATGGTATGGGGTATCAATTTAACATCAAATACCAGATCATAACCAGATCATTTATACCCCATTTATACCAGATCAGTTATAATTTAACATAGCTATGGGGTATAAATGATTCATTTAGTTCGATGGTTTACCATGGTTTACCCATCAAAAGACTGTGAATTCACCACTGGTTTAACATAGCTATGTTAAATTGCCGGAGGGTATATCTGTAATGTCAGACTAGTCAGACTAGCACCTTTGGTGTGACGTCTGATTGTCACGTTTCTATTTCTAAATCACCGACCATTTGGAGCTAACACCCGTCCAGCAGCAGGCCCACTCCTGAACAAGTCCTTAGTCGCTATGGTTTGGCTCGGGTCTCGGGCACTGTGACGTTTCGTTAGGAGAATGTGAGGAGAATAAGGAAATTTGCCACTTCTTGGTGTCATACCCCTGACATGATCTGGCATGGAAGAATGGAATGTGTCAACACGCTGGCCGACCTGGCACCCTGCCTAGAGTCACTAGAACTATTGGTGGAGCATACACGTGGATGTGCATATCGCTTAGAAAAACACTGGCAATCTGGATAGTCGGTTGAGTCAGTCATCCCACTATGCCATGTAGAGATTCACCCTTTGCCACTCACCCATGGCCATCAACTCATGCCTTTCGCAGAAGCGTTCGCATTGAGAAAAACATCCCGTGGTCATGCTGATTATATCATGCGGTGGATGCTCCCAGCGATACACTACAAATAGTTTCTACAAATAGTTTTGCAATGGTTGTGGCTCAGAAATGATTATTCACTCCCTGCACTCGAAGATGGCAAAGGAACATCCGTCATTAGATGATTTCCCAGCTACAAAATTTCATTTAGTTCGGGGATTTTCCAACTAGCCATGTTTGACCGGATGGCCAAATGTAGTGTTTCCAGCAAAAACTCACCAGAAACTGGCCCACTGATCCACTGATCCCTTCATCCGCTGGTCCCAGGAACCCTGCGGTGCAGATCCTTCTGTTCCGCTGGTGCCTCTAAGACGTGCTGCAACGCCAAGCCTTGCCTGGCCCGTCTTGGGCACGTGGGCACGTGGACTGGAGGTGATGTTTCTGCATTTCTATGGATATAGTTCGAAACCATTCTCTCGACTCTACATATATGTTAATATAATTTAATATACCATATACATCCATATTACCCCCCCATAAGTTGGTGGATATCATTATGATTTCTATAAATATGGTCACCCACTGATTGAGTCAAACTGCACCCCCAAGCATTGCCCGTCATATAAACCGGGAGAAAAAAAGAACTGGACACCTGAAACATATCTTTTAGAACAATGTTTTCAACTGGGGGTCCATCCTAACCAAGCCACAAAACCAGCCAAAATCATAGTTGTGTTTTTTTTTAGAGGCCAACTATGGCCAACTGATTTCCTCCAGGACCCAGGATTCAACACTTCGCCAAGGCACGCGAAGAGCAAGGCCCGTTCCACGCGTTGGGAATGCTCCCCACCCTCCGCGCCAGCGGCGAAGGCAGTGATGTCGGCAGCCACCAGAAACCTTAAGGGGCTGTGCCGGGATGAGATAGTTATGTTTACAGAAAATATGCGTGACATATGTTATGTTAAATGTATACATGTTATGAGATAATGCATTATTATATTATATTTTTTAATATGTATACATACATAATCATACATACATATATATATATGTGTGTGTGTGTGTTCAATTATATTATACGTATATATGTATATATATATATATATATTATTCTTTTTATATACACGCAGTGTGTGTGTGTGTGTTTGTGTGTTTTCATAGATACGATGGGATAGTTTGCGCATGTTTGTGCCAGGTGAAGAGATGGAAACGCCCCAGGGATGAGTTTATTCATGCTTAGACTCATGCGCAGCATCACCTGTGAGGTCATGTCGGCGTGGTTGCCGTTGAGGTGGGCATAAAATAACAGGCATCCGGTGGCTCAAAATGGCCCTGGCGGCAACGACCAAAAATGTGCAAATCCTGTTTTGGTTCATCAGCAGCAACGAAAACGACAAAGACGACGACGACGGTGACAACTATTACAAATAACAACAAAAAAATCAACAAAGTATACTACCCAGACCACCATCACTACACTACACCACTACCGCTACGGCTAGAGGTACTAATACTAAAAAGAATGACAGCAAGAATACAGAGTGAAACAAAAAAACAATAACAAGAGCACGAATAACAATGAAAGTCATAAAAATAAAGCAAAAACAGTAACAATACCAGTAAGATTAACAATGGCAATAACGATGACAAAAACAACAAATAACCATCCTCATCATCATTATCATCATCATCATCACCATCATCACCATCATCATCATCATCATTATCCTCAATGTCCTGGACATCGTCACTGCCATCATCATCATCATCATCATCATCACCAATACATATTCACCTCTGTCAGTGACGCACCATGTGACACCCAAAAGTAGTATCAATTTGAGGTCTAGCAGCAAGGTCGCCACGCCCATGAGGCACAGAGGCTGCTGACTGATCTGGCGACCAAAGAAGTCGGCCCATTTGAACTCCTTAAGCGCTGGCTTGGTGGTTTCTACCGCTGTACCAACATGTTTGTTGTTTAAATTCGCATGTAATCCCCATGCTTCATATATATATATATATCATATAGTTTCAAGTTCTACAGCACTGGTTCTGGTCTCACCGTTGTCTGTGAGCGACAAACCTTCCAGATTTCGGTTTGATCCACCACAAAGACATCAACAAACAGGAAACCAAACGCAGACTGGCAATAGCAAACCAGGCTTTTCAACAAAATCGACGCCTTCTATATCGCAACAAGCAATTAGATTGGCGCATCCGATGTGACATGGTCCAGACTCTCATCTTGAGCAAGTTTCTTTATGGCTTGGAAAGCTGGACATTTGATTCCGTCCAGAGTCGTACCCAAATCCACAATGCGATCATGAAATTGTATCGTAGATTGCTTGGTGCATCGCATGACGCTCACCTCACTGACTTGGCCATCCTTGTCCAGACGAACACGCCTGATCACAGAATTGCTACGCCACGCAGAGCCAGATTGCGATATTTTGGGACATGACATCACTGCCGATCACATGCTCACCGGGGGCTCCTTCAGGAAGACACCACTTGGGTGACACTGATTCGGTTGTCTCCAATGGGTGTGGCAGCAGATAAGCACTTCATCAGGGCTTGGGGATCCCACACTGCATTTCCCACAATGGCAGGACATTTTGGTGCATCATGGTGTGTATTGGAAGAAGCTCATCGGCAGAGGCATCCAACATGCCTGCCTACAAAGAAAGAAAAATAATCATGCCAGTGAACTGCATGAAAGAATCGGCACTCTGTTGTTGAATGAAAGGTTGGTTGATGAACTGCCTTCTCAAGCTGTCTGTGCACGACCAGATGAGGAGGGCCATGGGTATGGTTGTATGCAGTGTCTAAAAAATGTTGCACCCTTTGCAGGTGAGAGTGTCCACATGTGTAAGTTGCACGGGATCCTGGCACAAGAGGTTCCTTTTTGACAGAACACACTGTCCTTGTTGTCTACGTGAATACCATGCACATTCCAAGGTACTTGCACATTTGCGGCACTCAACAAGATGCAGGGAGACCCTCCGAGACAAACGGTTGTTCTGTCCGCCTGCACCAGGTCTTGGCTCCAACAGAGATCGTGAGCTCGCTGATGCAAATCACAAGGACCGCTCTTGCCACCTCCGGCTCATAGAGCATGGGATCAGCATGATATTGCATTCTTTGAAGCATTGTACTTGCATCTTCTTGATGGTTCAGATAGCACTGCCCTTGCAGCCCATGTGCGTGACTTCATTGGTGCATATCCAATCAGTTGGACAATGTGCAGAAAGACATTGAGTATCATTGAGTGCCTTCTGCGCGCAACTTACACCAGAGGATGCCGCAGTATTGATGTGGCCCCATGCAGAGATAGCCCATTGTCTTTCACAATTTGCATGTGATAGTAGCTGGGATTTCCTTCATGATGCTTATTCAGCAGCCGTTGCGCAGGCCTGCAACACTTTGTGATTGGGAATTGGTGCGCAGATCAGGCCACACAATCGCCTGAGCATTGGGCTCACTGGAACCCTTTGCCGCAATCGTTGACCCGCCAGAAAATTTTGCTACACGCATTTGCGGGTAGACGCAGGCGTGGAGATGTGGAATGGTACCTTGACATGATCGCAAGAGATTCACCGGGCTTTGTTATCCTTACAGTTTCGATTGACATCATTATTGACCCCATTCATGGTGATATTGCGAAAGCAAACACGCGGGCCATGTGGCTACACTATATCCGCCAGGGGCATGTGGCAGGTTTCTTGCTGGGCAACACATGGAGATTCATGGAGCAAGGTCCGCGCAGTTCAGTTGTCTGATAAGAAGTGTGGGGAATGAGTGAGCTACGCATTGGGGAGCTGCACCAGGTGACCATTGGCACGATCCTTTTAGGGTTTGCGCTTGAATGCATGCTTGCTCTTGCAATGTACTGTGGCTCGGGTATTTTGGAACACCCCAAAGACAGTGAAGATGCCGCATCTGGCGTCTACCAGTGTTGCGTATGCTTCTACATGCTTCTACAGTTTCCTGGGATGCGGTTTGTACGTTTTTCGCAAGGATTTTTCGGTGCACCCACGCCGAAGCCCACGACTCTTCTTGTACTACGCTTGCCGGCATTGGAACGACATCTCCATGAAGGAATGCTTAGCTCCAAATTGTTGTACGGGACTTCAGTTGGGAAGAATGACAAAGGTCAATTTCATAAGAATATCCTCCAGATTCCTCCAGGCTTTTGTAAAGCAATCGCTCACAGTTTTGTCTCAGACATTTGTACAGAAAGCGCTAGTATGGATTACAGCGCACTGCCGGAACTGCCGTCTTCGTTTTTGGATTTCTGCAACAAGATGTGTGATCACGATTTCGGTTTGTTCATCCCAGGACTGAACGTCCGCATCCGAATTTAGCGCAATGCCGCAACGACATCGCTACTGCAGGCATGAGGAACAAAAATATCATATATAGTTGTGTATGTACATATATATATATATATAGATATATATATATAGATATATAGGTTATATCCACACTATCGCTATCCATTACACCATAATCCAATTTTTCCCTGACCTAGCAATTCTCATTGACTCCCCATGGTTCCCCCATCCATGGCTCCCCCAATGCCCTACCGCCACGTGTCATTTTGCTCCAGCGCCAAGGTCTCCAGGCCCTGCATCGCACGCTCCAGGCGCTCCAGAAAAACGTCGTCCACGTCGTAGGACGCGGCGTCGCAGGGGGAGCCTTCCACCTCCAGAGATTTCATTGATGTTCAGATAGTATCAGATAGTAATATTAATTGGTATTTTAGGTATAGTCATATTTAATAGGTATTTAATAGGTGTTCGGAAATATTTTTTTGTTCGGAAATATTGTTCCGGGTGGAATATAATCATATGGACCATATGGAATATTACGATCCATCTGGATATAATCATCGGGCATTTGTATTGATTAGAGGAATCATACCTATTAATTGACCAGCTAGATTATGTTATATCAATAATATGTACAATAATTATAGGAATAATCATCCAGTTGGTGAATAAACCAATGACAATCATCGTAAAGTTTTGGCGACATGATTGTTGTAATGTAATTATGAAAACTAATTGTGGGAAACATTGACTGCGATAATTATCATAAAAACAGTTATAATCATGAAAATAATTGAAGGAAGTTTAGAAGTCAAACTTCCGACAATATGGACAGATGAAAAGCAGAGATGGAAAGGGTCAGAGAGAAGAGAAAGAGTAGAAGAGAGAAGAGTAGAAGAGAGAAGAGCAGAAGAAAGAAGATCCAGGTGCGCGAAAAGGTAGGAAAGTCGCGAAACACATCGCGTTTTTCCAATGATTTGTGGCTCCGGAGGGTCGAAAAGTAGGCTCGCTAAAGCGGCGGGTGCGGAGCCAGCTGGCCAGATGAGAGATGAATTTCGAAGTCAAAATGTACAAAACACACCAGGTCCAGACCACTTTTGGCAGTTGAGATGTCGAAAAAGTGCACACCGTTGTGGCGCGAAGCACATTTCGAAGTCAAAATGTACAAGACACACCATGCTCGGACCACTTTTGGAAGCTGAGATGTCAAAAAAGTGCACGCCGTTGTGGCGCGAAGCACATTTCGAAGTCAAAATGTTAAAAACACCAGGGGTTTGGACGACTTTTGGAAGTTCAGATGTCGTTTCGCGTGGCAGGCGCAGGGGATTGTGCACCTTGTCAAAAGTGAGCGAAACGTGAGGGTTTTGTAGCATTTGCAACTACAACCACCACTACACCACACTACACTCCAATACACTACACTACACTACAACTACACCTTCACTACATTCCACTACACTACACTCCACTACACTCCACTCCACTACACTCAATTACATTCAATTACACTACACTACACTACATTACACTACACTACACTCCACTACATTACACTACACTACGCTACCTTCCACTACACTACACTACAGTACACTACACTACACTCCACTACACTACAACTACAACTACACAACTACACTCCACTACACTCCACACACCCCGCTACACTAAATTACACTACACTACACTACATTACGCTACACTACGCTACATTCCACTACACCCCACTACACTGCACTACATTGCACTACACTACACTACATTCCACTACACTGCACTACACTGCACTACATTCCACTACACTACACTACACTACATTCCATTACAATACACTACACTAACTGCAACTACAACAACAACTAAAACTACAACTACAATACTACATTTACGCTACACTACACTACACTAATTACACTACACTACACTAGACTCCACTACACTACAGTACACTGAATGACACTGCACCACAGATAGACAGACAGACAGACAGACAGATAGATAGATAGATAGACAGATAGTTAGATAGATAGACAGATAGACAGATAGACAGCTAGACAGACAGACAGATGAAAAAGAGAGAGAGGGAGATAGATAGATAGATAGCTAGCTAGATAGATAGATAGATAGGTAGATTAATAGATACATAGTTAGATAGACAAATGAGATAGATAGCTAGCTAGATAGATAGATAGATAGGTAGATTAATAGATACATAGTTAGATAGACAAATGAGATAGATAGCTAGCTAGCTAGATAGATAGGTAGATAGGTAGGTAGGTAGATAAACAGGTAGACAGATAGACAGATAGATAGAGAGACAAGCAGCTAGATAGATAGATAGATAGATAGACAGATAGACAGATAGATAGACAGATAGATAGATAGATAGAGAGACAAGCAGCTAGATAGATAGATAGATAGGTAGATAGATAGATAGATAGACAGATAGATAGACAGACAGATAGACAGACAGACAGACAGAGAGATAGATAGATAGCTAGCTAGGTAGGTAGATAGGTAGAAAGGTAGATAGGTAGATAGGTAGATAGATAGATAGACTGATAGTTGATAGGTAGACAGATAGACAGGTAGACAGGTAGCTCAGACAGGCAGGTAGACAGATAGACAGATAAATAGACAGATAGACAGATAGATAGATAGATAGACAGTGAAATAGATAGATAGATAGATAGATAGATAGGTAGATAGGTAGATAGGTAGATAGGTAGATAGGTAGGTGGGTAGGTAGATAAATAGATGAACAGATAGTTAGACAGATAGATAGATAGACAGATAGACAGATAGACAGATAGACAGATAGATAGACAGATAGACAAATAGATAGACAGATAGACAGATAAATAGATAGATAGATAGATAGGTAGATAAACAGGTAGACAGATAGACAGATAGATAGATAGATAGCTAGATAGGTAGATAGACAGAGAGAGAGAGAGAGATAGATAGATAGATGGATACATAGATAGATAGGTGGGTAGGTAGGTAGATAGTCAGAGAAAAAGAGAGAAAGAGAAGAGACCTCAACCACCTGTCGGTCCATCAGTGGCTTCGCTCTGCCATCCGTGATTCACAACAACCAACCTCTCCTATAGGTTCCCTATTTTTGAAACTTCCGCCACCGCCTTGTGCGGTACTACTGGTAACAGCCATGGTCATAATCATAGTAACAAGATGTCATTATGATGTGTGTTTTATGTATTGGAATGTTATGATTATTATGGGATTTATTTTGTTTTATATTATTGTTTAGCTTCCCAGGTGGACGATTTGTATTGTTATCATTGCTTAACATTGATTATCATGTTTATTGTTATCACTGTTTCATCCTAGTGTTCATTATTGCTATGCTTGTTGACACTATTGTTGGTTGTCATGTTTAACAAGAAGTCTTGGAAATTAACGTTAAATTGACATAGACCCTGCCAAAATAGGGGTTGGAAGATTAGCGTCCACTAAAAATCAATGATTTTCAAGGTCTGGGTTGATTTGCCAGAGGATAACTAAAGCTGAATTTGGGTACCTTAGATACGGCTATTTTTGATTCCATATGCAGTAATGATAACGATAATGGTGATAATGAACAATTAATAATGAATAATGATGACTATTATTGTTCAATACTATTGTTCGTTATTGTGCTGTGGCCCAGGTTCTTCCCTTTCAAACCCCATGCGCTGGAAAAGCGTGACACTGTTCTATGCTAACAAGACTTGTTATTATGCACTTTGAAATATCATTATTTGTTGTTACTATGATTAGTACATTGCCAGTCTTAGATACCCGTCCAAGGTCGATGTTTACTAACCTCAACTGAGAATATCATATAATTACATGATTTAAACGACAAACATTGGGACCCAAAACCAGTTGCAACTTCTGAAACTTTAGGATTTCGCTGAGAGAAATAGAACATTCAATGAGTCGCGTGTTTTTCACCGTCAAAAATTGGGAGGAAGCGACAATAAGCTGGAATTTTGGCGAACAGAGACTTGGATGTCCACCTCAACAATTGTGACTCTGCAAAAAGTGATGATAGTGATGTGTAACAATTTTGCAGAATAACAATTGTTGAATTACACATCACTATCATCAATAATTGTGTCACATTGTTGAATATTCAATATTGATTATTGTGTCACAATAACATGTTGATTCAACTTGATTCAACTTGGGGATCAAGGGGTCAACCGGGTCAACCAGCCAAAAAAAATCAACGATTCAAAGCCACACCTGCGGTGGGATGGCGGCAAGGTGGGAGACCAAGTCCCGCGCTTCTTCCTGACGAAGTCACTGTTGGGTCGCTTGTTTAATTTTGGGGTGTACCCTTATGTAAACCAACAGAGATGTGGAAAATCACCATTTGTATACATAAATCATCTATACATGGGCCATTGTCCACATCTGTGTTAGTTTACCTCAGGGTACCAGTTCTATCCATTTCTAATTAAAAGCTACTGGAGGATATGGGAAGTATATCACCTTTGTGGGGCCCTGTTTCATTAACTTGGGGCTCTCAATGCTGGCAATGGCAACGGCGACCGGTGACCAACTCAGCAAGGACGGCTTTGGTGCCGGGCGTCAATCATGAATTGTTACCCTCTGGCGATTTAAAAAGGCATGTTCCGTAACAAACTGTTACAGTAGATTACCAGTTTGCTGAATACACATTGAATCGCAATTTTTGGTGCTTAAATCATTAACTTAAACCTCTATGAATCACAATAAAAACTCATTCATGATCATCAAAATCTACATTTTGGCTGGATGTCATACCAGTAACCAACTTGCAGGTGCGGGCCCCACCAAGTACATGGGTTATACCTCCAATTGTATATGGAGTATCCCCTATTAGATATCCATTATTATAAACCATTTGCTGCTAAGTAGGATCCACATCCAAGAACGAAGAAAAAACAATGGCCGAGGCGCTGTCTCAGGCCACAGCAAGCTGCTCCAACGAATCTTCAGCAGCCACGCGGCCAGGGACGCTTCATCTGCTGCAGCACTTCCATATCCTCAGCAGCGGGGAGCACAACCTGACCCCAGGTGTCCAAGGCTGAAGCAACCAGTTGGGAATCAAACGTGGCTGGCTGGAAAATCACCTATAAATTAGGCGCTATAATTGGAAATCATCGAACTCAATGGCGAATTTTCGGAGGGTAATCTCCAAATCTCATCGACCAGGAATAATGCTGTCTTGAGAGAAGGAAATGCTTGAACCATCCCAAACTCTCCAACAAAAATCGTATGTTTAAGCTAGGAAACAAGTATACGACTAGGGGATCTGCTTGTTTTTGAACAAAACCCAGCTGGGGTTGCAAGACTTGCCGGCCAAACTGTTGCAGCAAATATACGTGCAAAAATTCGTGCGAAATTCAAACTGAATATGGCCAAATAATCCTCCTGGAGACAGTTCAGAACGCCCACTGGTTGATGTTGCTTGACAGTTTACATTTGTACATTTGTACACTAATGTTTGAGAGAAAAAGAGCAGACATGACCAGCGCAGCCAAAAACACCTTCTAGACCAGGTGGGGTTGTCTGAGCATAGAGTAACCCCCAACAATAAGGTTACCCCATGGATCATCTTCCCTACTCTCAGAGCCATTGGAGGGGAGTACACCACCGCAAGTTTCTCAGCTGCATTGCTGCATTCCGCAGTTGCGTCAAGGATGAGCCCGGTTTGGCCAAGTCGTTGCCTCGGGGGCCCCTGGGAAGAAAAGTGTCAAGAGATTTCAACAAACATGGGCTATGAAACCAACCAATTGCGATATGATGGGATTTAATCAACGGTAATTATGTGCATATCATATATATATGCACACATACATATATGAATACCTATCTTTTGTGATTATATACATATGCATATGCATATGCATATACATACAATATCATACAATATATATATGTATATGTATATATATATATAATGTAGACATAGATATAGATATGCATATATGCTAGATGTATAGAATGTGTACACATTATTTGAGTGTGTCTGAACATTGTCATGCGGTTTTTGCTGCAAATTATGGCAATCAACATTGGATTTCGGGGTGCTCAGTTTTCTGAAGGCAGAGTTTCTTGATACCCTGCCAAAAAAGTTGGCAATTCTTAAAGATTACTTGCAAATCCATCTGCCAAACACAAACTAATCCTAACATCTCAGAAAACCTAGATAAAATCAAATAAGTGGAGAACAGATTTGAAACCATTTGGAGGTGATACATTTCCCTAGCAATCCTTGATCGATCTTGGTCGTTCTGATGTCGCAGAAAAAAATGAATTATGCAAATAGATCATAGGGGCACCTAAAATTCAGCACGTCTATGTACCGTCCTAATGTAACATAGCCATGGAAAACGACCCATTTATATATATATATATAGATCATTTACCTTTTATTACCTGCTAAACATTGCCATTGTCCATGGCTAGGTCAGTTGACCGAGGGTACCCGAAGGGCGGACCATGGCGAACCCCTCGTCTGGTAAGGTAGATCCCCGCAACCAACTAAGGCTTAAGGGGGTACCCTCTGGTAAAGTAACATAGCTATGGAAAATCACCATCTATAGTAGGTAAATCCACTATAAATGGTCATTTTCAATAGCTATTTTGACATAACCAGAGGGTAAATCCCATCAACCATCCATGCAATGAGTCCCTCATCCTGCCCGTGTCCCATGGGGGAGGTCCCATGGAAAATATCCCTGGCCATCACCTGGCTCCGCCAAAAAAATCGCTGGGAGCATGCTGATCATCGAGCTGTACATAAATCTATCCCACACACATGTATATCCATTGAAAAGCACACACACACACATATTAATATATAGTTACATCATATGGAGCTGTCCTAAAAAGGTGGGTACCCCTAAATCATCCATTTTATTTTCGGATTTTCCATCAAAAAAAAAATCCAGCTATTGCCATGGTACGTTGCCGTGCCAGGAAATCATCGATCTCCTGAAGGCTTCTGTGGTTTCTACGCTTCTCTTTTCTTGGGTCCATCTTAGATGGAAATTCATGCTCCGCATTTCAATTGGACATTTAACCCATCAAATAAGCCATGAAAATTTGAATTTCACCAGCACAAACGTGAAATTTGACATGATTTAGCCAATGAACCCACAAATGTTCACAAACAATGAATTTAATTACGGCGAGGTAATTTTATAGGAAACCATGGTTTCACCCTAATTAAAAAGATGTTCATGTGGAATTGGATTGAATCTATGGTGCAGATAGGAGCCCATTTAGACAAGAGGTGGCATTCAACATTGGAACATCCTATCATCACAAGTCCTTCGGAGGGCTACAAGGATTTTACATCTCAAAACCACCCCCTGCCCATCAAAAAAATCGGCAAAACATTGTCCTCCGATTGTGACGCCACAAAATCCATGAGAGGAAAGACCTGCTGGTCGCCACCCATGCCAAACAACCATTGCAGAACCTTCTCGGCACCTGCGAGGCAAAAATGATCAAAAATGAGTCTTCTGGTAAGCCGATTGTTCCAAGTCCTGCTATAGCGTGTGTGTGTGTGTGTGGCTGTGCCCTTCAAAAGGTAAACTGGGTAGAGCAAATGGATAAATGGAGTACGGTTTACGGTATGTGCTTTAAAAGGTGTATTTGATTGGCTTTACCACAGATCATAACATCCTCCAACCTCCATCACTTTAACATAGCTATGGAATTCCTGCCCACTTATAGATGATATATGATGATATTTACCTATTGAAATGATCATGTTCCATTACAATACAGGATGTTACAGGGCCACAATACAGGGCCCTTGAAACAGGAACGTGGCGATACCACGGATCTACCGCCAAGTTGGATGTCACCTCCCGTGGCGATCAAAAGCAGCCATAGCTTTCCCATCGCCCTACCTGAAAAATATTAGAAATATCAATGATATCAACCTCAAATTGATAGAGACATAGACTATCATAGACTATCATAGGCTATCATAGACTATCATAGACTATCATAGACTATCATAGACTATCATAGACTATCATAGACTATCATAGGCTATCATAGACTCAGACCCTGGAAGCCCTGGAATCACTCTCTTTTAGAGGGCAATGGTTTTCCCAGTTCCATCTATGATCGTCTATGTCTGGAAGAATGATCAGAGAGATTTCCAACTTGTGGCTTTGTCTGAAAATGTTGGGGAAAACCATTGAGCAAAAAAACATCATTTCTATTGGAGTCTATCTATTATATTCTATGATGTTTATCATTTCAACTGCAATTCTGTGACATCATCCCAGGGTGCGATGATATCGCTCATGGCAAGGAAATTCGATCCTTTATGCTTGGTATTTTGTGTAACCTCTGGTCATTTAACATAGCTGATGGAAAATGGATGATTTACCATGATTTACCTCATCAAAGTGATGATTTTCCATATCATATCATCTGGGAACCATGGTCTGTTGATTGGCTGATAGGCCCAAGCTGCGGCTGGCGCGATGCGTCTGACGGGAGACACTCGAAGTACTCCAAAGCTTGTCATGGTCCAGTCTGATAATTAGTCTTAGTCAATGGCCATTTCAGCGACCTAAATTGGAGGTATCTACTATATATGAGGCCTATGTATATAAGGTATGTAAGGATTAGCTTCAAAACCTGTTTGTTTGGGTCTTTTGGATAGGTTCTTTTGTCTTTTTCTGAAGGCGGCCCCCAAAAAGACCGTGAAATATCATGCCGCACCAGTTCTCACAGAAAATCCAGACACAGAAATCAGCCGAGATTTTGTGACAGTCACATGGTACAAGCACCCATAGTGAAGAACAGCGATCAAAACTGTGTCGGCCTTGTTAGGTTCTTTTTTGACCACTTACAATAATTTGTGTGCCATGCATGGGAAACAAATGAACCTGTAGCATGTGGAAAAATAGAATCCTGCCGGCCCAGAGGATGCCGCCGCATGCCGCATGCCGCCGGAGCATGCCAGAGCTAGGTTCAATGAGTTGGTTGAATGGAAATTCTATGCTTGAAATCATGGTGTTTCACATTCTGGGTTTGATGTTGTTGGATCCACCTCAGGAGATTGTTGCAAATGGCGGGGTTGTTGGATTCACCAAAATCATCGAAAACTTGACAATTGGGGATCATCCTTCCATTGGTTGGATGGAGCATGCACGTTCGTTGGAATAGCTTCATCCACCAAAATCATCCAAATCCATCAAATAAGTAAGACAAAACAATGAACAGTTCAGAAACTGATGTACTATCTGTTCCCTTGAGATATCACCGCAGCGCTCTCTGCTACAAGTGGCCACTGTTGACTGACACAAGAAGTGCAACCTCCAGGGCCCATCTCGGCCATTTGCCACCCTGAAAGCTGCGCAGTGCAAACAAATCCCAACCCACCGCCCACCTCACCCCCCTATAATGAAGTCTAGATTTTGCACTTGGGCATGGAGATGTCTTTAGATCGAAAATGACTTTGAGTTCCAAGGCCGGAACACTCCCAGCACAACATTCACACGTGGACACAGCAGGGGTCATGTTGGGTGAGGCAGATCCCAAGACACCCAGGGTGGATGGCAGGAAAAAAATTGAACAAAAAATCTCTGGGTCAACAAAGATACAACAAGGCCCACCCATGGCCAACCTTATAAACCATTCTGGCATTTCAGGATAATCACAACTGATCCCATTACGGTAAACTAAACCGATGATAAAACCACAACTCGCCAATCAGTTTGCTGCGGACACCTTTGGCTCGAATGAGGTTCAAAAAGCGCAAGTTGGCTGGATGGATGTTGTTTGGACTTGCGTGAGATGGCCAAAAAAACAAACAAGCACAGTAGATTCCCCAGATGGTAGATTGAACATGATTGAACAACAATGCCACATCTTTACTAAACATCACGGACTCAGCAAATCCAGGTTTATGCGATGTTGGAAGTTAAAAATGTTCAAATTGAGAAACACGGTGCTGAAATCGGCGGCTCTCACATCCCCGTGATGATATCCCCGTGGTGACCCCCTTTCCTGTTTCGGTGGAGCATCGCCATACTTCCCAGCGTCAGTTACTTGTTTCCTGGAGCTGACTGCACAGCAGGCAGAACACTGCGGCACATCGATATGCTGTTTTTGACGCACCCCTGTGCAGAAACTCCACAAACCATAGATCGAATATCCAACACACACCGGGGCTTAGACAGCTTGAGACCGCTGTCTCGACCAAACAAAATCCTGGCCTCTGCTGTATTTGACAAGTTCTGGTTTGCACCTTGTGGCCGCTTTGTTGAAACGCTCCAAGGGGGGGTTGAAAAAAATTGTCCTCCTTGCCATCGTGGCCTGGGTTACCCAGCTCTGGAAGGCATTGGCGTTTTAACGCCAGAGTGAGGAACCAAGGTCCAAAGCTCAGAGGTCAGGTTTGCCCAACAAAATGGTGCCTTCATCGTTATCGTTGTTGATGCTCACAAATATCATGATAATATATTACTAATAGTAATTGTACGATCAACTCCCACCAGTTGCCCCGCTTCTGGAAGAGTTCGACGGGATCATCATCATCATCATCATCATCATCACCACCATCACCATCACCATAATCATCATCATCATCATCAACAACTCATTGGTATGATCATCGTCGTCTTCTAACAGAATAATAAGTGGAAATTGGTTCCAAATGCACTGTTCCAGCACTTTTGGCCGCACTAACAGTTCAAACAGAATCCTAACAAACCGTTGCAAAATGCGCAGTTCCAGCAATCTTGTTAGAACGAGCAGCCCTAACAGAATCCTAGCAATTGCTGCAAGAAGCCCCAACCTTGAGCCATGATAATTGGATCATCTTGGGCGCAGCATCAACATCTTGCGCAAGGTCGTATGAGCGTTATCATCGCCCCATCCCACCCCACCTCACTGATGCAGCATCCCCCACCCCACCCCACCCAATTTGAGCGTAGCATCAACATCTTGCGCAAGGCCGAGGGAACGTGGCCAAAGGAACGTTAACATCCCCACCCCAACGTAGCAACGGCATCTTGTGCAAGGTCCAGGCAACGTGGTCGAAGGAAGGTTACAACATCCCCACTCCACCCCATGTGAGAGTAGCATCAACATCTTGCGCAAGGTCGAGGGAACGTGTCCGAAAGAACGTTAACATCCCCACCCCATGCGAGCGTAGCATCAACGACATCTTGTGCATGGTCGAGGGAACATGGTCGAGGGAACGGTAAGATCCCCACCCCACCCCATCCTACCCCATGTAAACTGTGGGGCAAATGCTGGGCGTTGCGTCTAATTGTGCTATAGCAAATTCCAACTGAGGAGCAGCCGTAGTGGTAGTTGTATTGGGAGTGGTAGTGGTAGTGGTAGTGGCAGTGGCAGTGGCAGTGGTAGTGGTGGTAGTAGTAGTAGTAGTAGTAGCAGTAGTAGTAGTAGTACCAGCAGGAGCAGGAGCAGGAGCAGTAGTAGCAGTCGTCCTCGTAGCCGTAGTCGTAGTAGTCGTAGTCGTAGTCGTAGTCGTAGTCGTAGTACTAAGGTGTCAGGTTTTTACTTGTATCTAGTTATAAGTAGTAGATAAAAAAATCTAAAATTTAGAGCTTAACTTTTGTAAGTTTCTTTGGGTGTTTTTTTTTGCGCATTTCATTTTGTTGTTTTTTGTTGTCATAAATGGCTAAAAATGGCATTCCCCGTTTTCAATCCTTTTGTTCAACAAGAAAGCAGTCATTTCTACGAAAAAAACAAAGTTTGATTTGCGTTTATAAACGCTCACGCGTGCGTGCGCACATGATAGGGAATAAATAGGGGAAATTGCGTATATTGATTGAAAAACAGCGTTTGTTTTTTAAAAGTCATTGTGGTGGTGAGCAATATCTAGTTTCTGCATATGAGGCGTCTGTGCAGAACCTAGTCCAAAAAGGTGCGCACAGCATTGAGAGGAGCATGTTCAGCCCGTTTGATTCCTATATGGATCTGGCAGGTAAAGACATATATATATATATATATGGACTGCAAACAGTAACAATCAGAAACATTTCATCAGAAACACAGTTCATCAGAAACACTTCGAAAGTTTCAGAACAGCACATTTTGCCAGTGAGACGGTAATGACCGTGGACAAACTAAAAAGATGGGATAGGTGGGCAGCACTTTACATTCTTACTGTCTTTCACAAGTGTCCTAAAATGCTTTGAAATGTCGCTCCAGAAGACATTGCAGGACGCTTGTGTCAAAAATGTTGAGATATGAAATTGTATCCTGGTTTGATATCTATTTATGATCTTGTATTGTTTTTGGGTTCTCACTTCTGGTCAGGTGATCAATTTGTTTCCCATCACGCAGGGGTAAATGGACATTGAAGAGTATATGAAAGATTGGACCATATACATGTGGGTACCCCCCCTTAAATAACATATCGTGCACTAAAGGCCCAACAAGTGTATAGCCACTACATGACCCAACCTACGATCCAATCAAAATAAGTGCAACATCATTGCAGTGGCTTTGGTATATATATATATTATATATATAGATGGTATATGCACGGTATACACTGGTATACACGCGGTATACGCTGGTATACGCTGGTGTGCGCTGGTATACGCGTGGTATACGCGCGGTATACGCGTGGTATACGCGAGGCTTTTGTGGTATACGCGTGGTATACGCGCGGTATACGCGTGGTATACGCGCGGTATACGCGTGGTATACGCGAGGCTTTTGTGGTATACGGTGGTATACGCGCCGTATACGCTTGGTATTTGCGTGGTATACGCGTGGTATACGCTGGTATACGCTCATGACCCCGCCAGCCCCAAAACGGTGAGAACCGCCAGCGGGGATGACCGCCTGCGGTAAAGACCGCCAGCGGTGATGACCGCCTGCGGTGACGACCGCCAGCGGTGATGACCGCTTCCTACATAGCGCTTCTTTTTTCCACCCATGATCTCAAGCTGTCTCTTGCCTTTAAAATGGAGGGTGGTAAGTTCACAAACCACAGAAAGCTAAATATGAATTAGCATTTCACTGCAATAAAGGTCTGGCTGCCTGCTCATCAGCGCACATCTCCACAACGGTTTCCCAAACCTCTTTGTAGCTTTCATCACTCAGCCCCCAAATCTTCGTGAAGAAATGCAACGGTTGCCTGGGCTGCAAAAATCATTCGATTCGAGGTATAAAGTCAAGACTCAGCAATACTGAAAAGTGGGAAACAAAAAATGCCACGTTTCATATACAGGCACTCCTTGTAGTTTCCATCCATGTAAACGCAACGGTAGTATGCAACACGGTTGTGAAGCACCCAATGCGTCTTAAAGAGGACATGTTGTATGCCTCTGGCATGCTCTGTCCTCACAATGCCACTCATTTGAAAAAGGCTTGAAAAAGTTGCCAAACTCTACATGCTACTGTTGTGGACGTTTACAAAATAGATAAAAATTGTCAAGAGGATCCAAGTTTCCTTTCAATCGGAAGTGAAAGATCTTCCCAAGTTACTTGGGACATGGCTCATGGACAGATGCAGCGAAGTTTTTGAACTAAACATTGAACCATATATCAACGGTGATAACCGATGAGAGATGATAAACTCACGTGGAACATGATAGAAAAGTTTCGCCGGTGAAAACCGCAGGTAATGTTAAAAAAAGTATGTTTTTTTTGCTATATGTCACCGCGTTTTTCAACATACCTAGCTTCTACGAAAAAATGAAGAAAAAACCTAGTTTTGTAAGTTTTCCTAAGTCCGAGCTAAGTACTTTTTTTTACTTACATAACTTTTGTAACTAGTACTTATAAGGAGATATAAGTAAAAACCTGACACCTTAGTAGTAGTAGTAGTAGTAGTAGTAGCAGCAGCAGCAGTAGTAGTAGTAGATGATAGCGGTAGCGGTAGCGGTAGCGGTAGCGGTAGGAGTAGGAGTAGGAGTAGGAGTAGGAGTAGTAGTAGTAGTAGTAGTAGTAGTAGAAGTAGTAGTAGTAGTAGTATTAGGAGGAGTAGTAGGAGTAGTAGTAGTAGTAGTATTAGTAGGAGTAGTAGTAGTAGTAGTAGGACTAGTACTAGACTAGTACTAGTACTAGTACTAGTACTAGTACTAGTACTAGTACTAGTAGTAGTAGTCGTAGTAGTAGTAGTAGTAGTAGCAGTAGCAGTAGCAGTAGCAGCAGTAGCAGCAGCAGCAGCAGTAGTAGTAGTAGTAGTCGTGGTAATAATGTTAGTAGTAGTAGATGACAGCGGTAGCGGTAGCGGTAGCTGTAGCGGTGGTAGTAGTGGTAGTGGTAGTGGTAGTGGTAGTGGTAGTGGTAGTGGTAGTAGTAGTAGTAATAGTAGTAGTAGTAGTAGCAGTAGTAGTAGTAGTAGGAGCAGCAGTAGTAGTAGTAGCAGCAGGAGCAGGAACAGGAGTAGGAGCAGGAGTAGTAGTAGTAGTAGTAGGAGGAGGAGAAGTAGTAGTAGTAGTAGTAGGAGTAGTAGTAGTAGTCGTAGTAGTCGTAGTAGTCGTAGTAGTAGTTGTTGTTGTTGTTGTTGTTGTCGTTGTTGTTGTTGTAGTAGTTGTTGTACGGTAAATTACCGTAGTAGTAGTAGTAGTAGTAGTACTAGTACTAGTACTAGTACTAGTACTAGTACTAGGAGGAGTAGTAGTAGTAGTAGTAGGAGTAGTAGTAGGAGTAGGAGTAGTAGGAGTAGTAGGAGTAGTAGTAGTAGTAGTAGAAGTAGTAGTAGTAGTATTAGGAGGAGTAGTAGGAGTAGCAGGAGTAGTAGTAGTAGTAGTAGTAGAAGTAGTAGTAGTAGTATTAGGAGGAGTAGTAGGAGTAGTAGGAGTAGTAGTAGTAGCAGGAGTATTAGTAGGAGTAGTAGTAGTAGTAGGACTAGTACTAGACTAGTACTAGTACTAGTACTAGTACTAGTAGTAGTAGTCGTCGTAGTAGTAGTAGTAGCAGTAGCAGTAGCAGCAGTAGCAGCAGTAGCAGCAGCAGCAGTAGTAGTAGTAGTCGTGGTAATAATGTTAGTAGTAGTAGATGACAGCGGTAGCGGTAGCGGTAGCTGTAGCGGTGGTAGTAGTGGTAGTGGTAGTGGTAGTGGTAGTGGTAGTAGTAGTAGTAGGAGCAGCAGTAGTAGTAGCAGCAGGAGCAGGAGCAGGAGTAGGAGCAGGAGTAGTAGTAGTAGTAGTAGGAGGAGTAGTAGGAGTAGTAGTAGTAGTAGTCGTCGTCGTAGTCGTAGTCGTAGTCGTAGTAGTCGTAGTAGTCGTAGTAGTCGTCGTAGTAGTAGTAGTAGTACTAGGAGGAGTAGTAGTAGTAGTAGTAGGAGTAGTAGTAGGAGTAGTAGTAGGAGTAGTAGTAGGAGTAGTAGTAGGAGTAGTAGGAGTAGTAGTAGTAGTAGTGAGCTGTAGTTGTTGGTGTATTTGCTCTTGTCATTATTATTGTATCATCATGATTCTCAATCATTGTTCTTTATAACGATTGTTCATCATTAATTGCTCCAGTATGATTACTCTTGGCCGCTGCTGGCAATTGCAACTCCCAAGTTGCGGATTTTTCTTGGCGGCTATGAAGCGCTCCATCCAACAAAGGGAAACCCAGGGGTCAATCTTCCCCAATTGCGGAGAGCGCATCAAGATTTGAATCCACCAGCAAGATCTTCATGAATCTTTGATGTAATCCATGTTCACTAATGAGGGCTGAAAATCTAAGCCATTCGACCTCAAAGGATTGTGATCGCAAGTGACACGGTAACTATCCGCCGCGTATCCGAAACTGGCAGATCTACAAAAAGGAATGCCCATCCAAGATCCCTATCATAATGGAAATTCTCAGTATACATAGATTGTAAAACACTGGCATATTTATGTTTATAATTAGTAGAATACAATGTTTAAAAAACAACTCAGTATTATACATAATATTTATTCAATACCTCACAACAAACACTGGTTTAATATTGATCTATTCATTTTGGGCCTCCCTGATTTACGGAGGTGACATGAGAAAAGAGATACTGTAACCGACTGCCACCATCAGTAGAGAATGATATTGTTATGGAATTCAGCCTGTGAGCCTGCCCAGATTCTGCCCAGCCTTCCCTATGACAATCTTGATCTTCCCGAGTCAGATAATCACATATGCACCAGGACACATCTTCTTGAGCACGTTATTTCACATGTAGTCTTGATAAATTTGACTATTTCACAAACTGCCAACAAATATATAGCCCACTTTCACAATGAATCTACAAATCACCTTTGATCAATCATCGATGATATTGATGTTTAATCTGATTTAATCTCTGTTTTATGGGGAATGACAGCAATCCTTCACTGCGCATTCCGGAGATGGCCTTGGATCAAGCCCTGGATGTCAACGCAGCCCCAATGACTTGACCGAGCCCACTTGACCGAGCCCGGCAAGCCTTGAAGCTAATCGATTTGGAAGAGCGCCAAGCTCAGGAACGACATGTTGTCCAGTGATCTATTTCGAAACAGCTTCATAACTTTGGGCTGAAAGATCTTGAAGAGCCGTCTTGCTTCATCGAGTGGGATAGAGAAGGCTTTCTGCACATTACCAGTCCCGAAATCACAATCTGCGCGGCGTCCCACTTGGCACAAGGTGGTGCCCCGAGCTAAGTTGGATTGTAGATGTACGAACTCGGATTTAGAATGATTTGCGGAAGCTATATCTACACTTATAATATGGGGCGTATAAACCTATATGAACCAATAAAAGCCAACTTGCAACTGGGGGGCACCACCGTTGCAGGTCTCTTAGATACAAGAAAGAATGAAACACGGAGCTTTTCTTGGCGATGGAAAACAGGGTCCCTGTCTTCAGCTTTGACTTCAGCAGATCGCGCGATTGCTGGGATCCAACAAGCCATTCTTAGTTGCTGCTTAGTGAGGCCCTAATAGATCTGGCCGGGTCACTGAGGCCCATGAAAAGCAAATAAAAAAAGCAAAAATTGATTGAGAATGATAGTCTAAATGTCAATAATGAAGTGCCTCCGAAATTTACAACATGCTGGACACACCTTAAGCATCCTCAAGCCACTTCTCTGTTTCTTGCCTAGGGGTGCCCAGTGGCTTACTTGTTCCCCAGGAAAAAACATCGGGGGATACTCTGACAGCTTTGGTAATCCCCGGAAAGTCGAAACGTTAGAAACCAGGGAATTCAGGCAAAGATCATCGAAGACATGCTGGTATCGCCTTCCTATCTTAGTTTCGTTAGCTTTTGTACTAGACATTGGATGCCCCAAAATCCTATGGTTTACCGTCTTTTCTTAACCTGATGAAAACTGCCATAAATCGAGGTACTGTACTGTATCCACCCCTTTCTTGGACAAAACCAGATCATAATTGGTGGCTTAGGGGGCTTATATGAGATAAAATCATATATAAAATCCCCATTGCGATATCTGGTTTCCCCATGACATATCCCATGAAATCTGCTATTGATCCGCGCATTCTTGGTGTCATCAATTCCAGTCCCTGTATCTCCCCAAGATATCACCGGAAAATGTTTGGTTTACCATGGTTGCTTTACCCTCTGGTAATTTAACATAGCTATTGAAAATCACCATTTTCAATGGGTAAATCCACTATTAATGGTCATTTACAATAGCTATGTTAGATTACCAGAGGGTAACTTGAATTATTCCCGTAACCAATTTTGCCAACAGCGCTTGGGCTAAAGTCTAGCCATGTCTAGCCTGAGCCCTGATCGCAAAGTGAGCATGGTAAGGCACCTGGTGCTGGCACAATGCTGCGTTCTCCGCTATATGTTCATGGCGATGGTGGCACAATGAGATACAATGGAAGATGTTCTAACATTTTCTAACCAACAATGTGGATTGAACGATTCAACATTCATTCAATGATGCAACATGGCGGCACAAAAGCAACAAGCATAGAAGGGATTCTTCGTGAGGATAGAATGGAGATACACAGCAGGTGGTCATGATCATGACTGGCTCGTGGATACAACCTATCGCGAAATATGTTAGCTAGATAGGTAGATAGATTGCGTTTTCCCTGTTTGCGGCCTTCTCCCCTTGCCACTCCAATCATGTGTTGCCTCCTTTTGAGTTTCTTTGGGTCAAAGGAGGGTGAAACTGCCTCCTTATAAAGTGCAGGTTTGCATTGAGCCATACTTCCTGTACAGGTTTATCCCTGACACCCTGTGTCCTCAGAACATGATGGATAATTTGTGATATAGTTAGATGGATATATGTATACATATATATATATATAGAACTTAGACATGTTGGATCATCATCCCAAATAATGAGAAAGTGAGGCATATATACTGATTGTGGGGCCCAGGATCATGCCTTGTGATGTATTTATCAGCACGCTGTTACCGTCTTTTCTGATATTTCTCGCAAATGTTGAAACCTTCGAAGCCGCAAGCAGCCAGAGCCGCTGCCTTTGTCGCCTCTCAAAAGAGACCTGAATCATCCGCCAAGTCGCTACAAGTAGTAATAATGCTCTATCATATCAATCTATCCAATGTTATCCAATTTCGATCAAGTTGGGATCCCCCCATCTGTTCAGCCCGTTCTGAAGGTCCAAGCAGCAAACAATGAGCCCATCCATCTGGCCAACAGAAGGCTCTCTGCCAGTTGGTCAGATTCGTTAGAAAGTGAGAACCTGCGAGGCTTTTGATAGAAAGAGAAGTCAGGAGCCAGAGATTTGGCGGGGACACAACACCAACCATTCAACCATTCGTTCTATTGAATCCCCAAAGGTCCCCAAATCCCATTTTCCATCGTGATGTTCCACAGTATACAGGAGCCAACCATGGCACTGGCCCCAGCCTTTAGTTGAAAGCCGATGGTACCAACGATGGCCATGGTGAAATACAAGAACTTCTGCAAGACTGCCAGCGTGACCTGGTGGCCGAGGTCATGGGCCCCCAGGTGCAAAAAAAAACATCATGCACGACAAAGGACAACCACACACACATGCCTATAGTTTTTGGAAACATATTCCATATTATTCCATATACGTATTTGTAACTGAGATATATAATATATATATATATATATTCTATATATATATACATAATATATATATACATAATATATATATATATATATATACATAATATATATATATATACACACGTATATGTACAAAATCATGCACATGTATCACGATAATGGATTGTGGTTACCGATGGAAACTGGAAACATATGTGAATGATGATGACACCAAAATATGTATACATAGCTGACATCAAGCCCAGCTGCTCGCGTGTCCCACATGAAGAAGCCTGCCACGCTAGACGGAAAACCGATCGAATCCGTCCAGTCCCTGAAATGTACAAGTGGTATCAAGTGGTATCAAGTGGTATCAAGTGGTATAATAGAAGCGGAAGTAAGTTCCGGAAGACAAGTCATCTTTCCCAAACCCATATTTTCTCACCGGGTAGAGCATCAAATGGACTCAAATGGGGGCAGGGTGAGGCAGTTGTCAGGACACTCGCACGGCATGAAACTCAAAGATGCGATCTTGTGAGTCTTGTGAATAGTTGAATAATTTGTCCACAATCTTGAAGGCACACGGAGTTGTCATCGGTGGCGGTTGGAAATCTACCCAACCAGTCCATGGACCTGATTCGCTGAGGGAGAGGAACAGGGCGAGATTGATGTACTCTGATTCCTCAGTCACTGGCAGGTGACGAACCACCCATGGCCATCATGGCATGGCCATGTCCGTGTTCTGGATGACAGCTTCTTGTCATGATATTGCCAGAACATTCTCAGTCTGGATGCCACGATGAGAATAGGAACATCCCAGCCACCCACACAATAGACATTATTGAATGATATTGAATGAATCAAGAATATCTTTAAAAAAGGTTGACTCTACTACCCAGCTCCCGCATACATATCTCCGAAAGAAAAAAGTCATGGAAAACCCCATAAAAAGTCAGTTCACCCATGGCTTGTTGATACAGTAGGAGTCCGGAGGTTCTGATATCTGTATCAATTCCGAACAATTCCAATGTAGTTGATATATCATGATCTTCTATAGCCAGCCATGAATCTCACTTCGTTGCAACGCCAAGTGACCAGCTCCTCGTCTCCATCCAACATGCTCACCTGGGAGAGCGCGAAGCTAAGATGGTGGCACAATGTGACCACTCAACCATATATGAGCAATCTCGAAAACCCTAGGTTCACGGAAAGGACATCCACAAATTTGGGACCCATCGCTTACCACACGCTTGTACAATAATGATATATGGTAAACTTGGGGGGTATCGCTTGCAGGAAACTGTTACATATATATATATAATTCACAGAAATCAACGTCCAATTTGGGTATCGCTGATGTGGATATTAGAGAAATACAATGACATAACCTTGAAAAGGGGTATCGCTAATTTGGGAAGGTCCCATCGCTTACCGTGTGTTTTAACAATTTCCATCAATTTCCATAAACCAATGTCCGTCCAATACATATTTAGTATTGCCGGGGTTTTTGCGGTGGCTCATATAATCATATCATGTGTGTGTGTGTGTGGGAAACATATGGTGGTCATGTATGATTCCAAAACATTCTAAACACATATTATGCCATCATATGCCTATTTTTGTTTATTTATTTATAAGATTTTATAAGATTTTATAAGATGTTATAAGATTTTATAAGGTTGCAAGATGTGGGGGAGATGTGAAACGAAACCGGCCAAGATTGGGGCTACCAGCTATGCATCAGGTATGCATCAAGCCATGTGACCAGCGAAGGCAAACGGGTGCAATGGGCAGTGGCTGATGCAGCAACATACAAGGCTCCTGACTGCGAACGGCGACAAGTGCACGCAGTTCCTTGATGTTCATTGATGTTCATTGACAATCTTAGATTCCCCGGCCTCTTGTTTAAAGCCAGCTAGTAGATGCTAAAATTGAGGATCTAGTGACTAGATTCTAGTCTTTTGGTCAGCAAATATCCCAATGTATCGCAAAAAATGAGCTCATTTCCATAGGGCAGCTGGTCCTGGCAAGCTCAAGCCCACGACCAAGCTTGGCAAAGCATCCTGGAGTTTCCAAAAGGCTTTGCTGACTTCAACTGTCGCAGAAAAAGCATTGTGAAATATTGTGCCGCGGTACGGGATACGGGACGTAAGAATTCACTCAGACTGTTCCGGCGACCCTCATGACTCTCTCGCTGCCAAGGTGCTAAAGCCATACCCTGATTGAAGTCATACAACACCTTCGTGATCGCCATCGGGGGGCATCAAGCTGATTGTGGGGTTACCATGCTGGGTTGGCCATACCTCGTTTTCCAAAAACACCCATGGCGTGGCTGTTACAGTACCCATTGTTGGTTATATCCTGTCTACACGCGTGTCACAAAATCATATACAATCACATGTCCTATCCCTGTAATCTTAAACACCCATCAGAAGCCATGGTTTAGTAGGGGATTTACACATTGATTTGGCACCCTTTAGGGGGTGTTGAATAGTACAAGTATTAGGATGGGATTATATACATGACATATATATTGACATATCATATGACATATCCCCAGTATGTTCAGTCACCTGCATCAGGCACATCACCTCCACGTTGTTCCAAGGGGCGCCAAAGCACACGAAGACCGTCGTAAGACCACAGGAGGCGGCAGTCAGCTGGTACATGCGACTAATCTGCCGCATGCAGCTAATGACCTGGCAGGGAATTCAATCCGCCAGTGGCAGGTCAAGGGACCCAACAAAATGAACCAAACGTAAAGATGTTTTTTTTGGTTTTTGGAACACCACGGGACCAGGTGTTATTTCCATAAATTCGCCAAAAAATTCATTGTTTTCTTGTCGCCTTCGACCGGTTTGAGATTGGCAGATGATTCAAAGAGTTTCGTTTTTTACCTCAAAGGTGGTGTTCAAAGCTTGACGTTGGCCAATTTTCATGGGAGGCAACACGGTTGAAAACTACCCAGGCCCTGGTCGCTGCTGGGCATTGGATTCCCCGGCCATGGTGTCTACCGGGAAAGACATCCATACCATCCATTGTGAATCTCCGTTGGTGCTGAACGGAATCTGGAAAGTTCCACAGCACCCAAAGATATGTTCGACATTTCATTACGTCGTGTATCATCATGTATCGTTAATTCTTGAACATCTTGAACTGGGGACACCATTCACAAATCCGTCGTGAAGAAGGGAGCAATCAAACACGGACATGACCGTTCAGAATCCACAATACATTGTATATAGATGTGTGTCGAAGAATCAAAACTACTCATCAGAACATCATCAGAACATGCACGTGGCCCATTTCAAACGCTGGTAATGGGACACTCCAAAACCATGATAATTCGATGATCATGGCATAATGAAACTTATCTGATCGGTGGTGTTGATCATCATGAGCTGTGAATCACCTCATCCGACTACCAACTTGCCATCTGATCATCACTAGGAAATCTAGGAATGTCAACTCAGGAAGAGATACCCTCCCTTTCTGAAAAGGTTGGAGACATTTCCAGAATGCTACACCCCATGTTCATCAACGGGGTGTTAACGACGGAACTGGTCAGAATTGGCGCACAAGGTGCAAACAATCTGTGGCTTGCATTGGCTCGAGGGGCCATACAAAAGTGATTCAACAGTAGATTCCCCAAATAATGAGTTCAATAGGACAATAAATTGGTCAGCAAATGCCTGTTACCACCCATTTCCCCAAATGATTCGTTCAATAGGAAAATAGACTAAATAGATGTCATTTTACGCAAATCCAACCCATGTCCACATATGTCCACCAGCCTCGCGCCACTTGGCACGCGCTTCCCGGCAGCTCACGTTTCCTTCCAGCACCGTTCGGGCATACGCGACGATGGCCAAGGAGATGCCGCGCCACATCGAGACTTGCAGGTAGCACGCCTGCGTGGATATGGCTGGATGATTCACCATGATTCGCCACGATTCAGCCGTCTCATTGGCGAGCCAAGCCGGCCAGGCCGCTTCAATCCTCTGAAAAATCACTACAGCTATGGACTACAAACATCTATGGACAAAAAAGTGACTATAGACTAGAGATGTAACCAAAAAATACTGAATAGAGATGAAAAGAGGGAGGTATGTAAACAACCAACATCAACAAAGTCACAACCAGCATCAACAAATTTGATGTGGATTGAACGTGATTTCGATCACGGGGGTGCGACCAAACAATTCTCATCTGGGCTCGAAAATGACCAGACGAAGGGTGTGTCGATGGCAGCAAAGTTCGAACCCAATCTCTGTGCTTACTATCCCATTCCACCCTGATCATCCAAGCAACGCTCAAGATGCAACCCGAAGCTATGGCATACAAAGACAGTTTCCTTGAGATGAGGACAAGTAGGTTCGGGGTGGCAATGCTGACTTGAAGGAAGCTTGGGAGCTATGGGAAACAGATGGGAACCATCGCCCTGCGAAAAAACAAGTTCAGTCCATTGCCGTGGTTCGGTATGGATCCAGTTTCGTTGAAAATAGTACCGGAAGTAATGATAGGAGAGCGTTCTCCTTTCCAGCCTCTTTCAGTACCAAAACAGTACACCTAGAAAACCCGGCGCGTTTTGGGTGGGAAATGGAACGGAAATGGATAGACCCAAAGGAAAATAACATTAAATTACGCCCAACAAATTTGTCAATGTCCGATGAAGGAATGCCCCCCCCCAAAAAAGAAACACTACGAAGCGTTCATTCACTAGTTGCACCCCCGCCGCCCAAAACACGCAACAGAGCCAACATTTGCGTCAATGGAGTTTATGTTTTTTAGGGTTTCCGATGGTTTCCTGCCGAAGAAAATCCCTGAAAAACACCAAGGATCAGAGCTGCGAAGCTGTCGCCCGACCATCGCAGTGACAGTGCCACCCTGCTGCTTAAGGCGCAGATCCACAGCAAGAAGACCAGCAGAGAGTCGCGACCTACGATGGCTGGTGGCAGAAATGGGGAGGTCATGGGGATATACTAGCGATACAACCAAGCAAATATAGGAGATGGGTGTGTCTGAAAATGGGGTACACCGGGTACACCCCCCAAATTCTCATTCTTATCGGGAAATTTATCATTAACCATCAATTTCTCGGCTATTTTCAGACGAGAATGGTCAACCCAGGATTCCAAACCGCCAAAACCCAAGAGTTTTCCACCATGAGATGAGAATGGTTGACATTGGAAGATGACCAACGCAGACGATATCAATGTCATGCATATTGTTATTTAGCGTATTATCATTATGTCTATGTTTACGAATCATGAGTTTATGATCTTGTTGATCATTGAATTCCAAGATCATGTGAGACAATAAATTGTTACTAGCAGACGCCCTAAGTTACCCCATTTACCCATTAGTTACCACAACCGCAAGGCACACCGAGTTACCCCAGGGCAGACAGTAGTTACCCCAGGTGTCAAATCCCCAAGGCACAGCGGCTCAGATGCATCATGTTTTGAAGTCGTTGCAAACTTTGAATCATGTTATTAGGTGGCATTTAGCTATGCCCGGAATCAGAATATGGGAAGGTGCGACCTGTCAACTTGGAGTCAAATCTCAATGGCACACCGCCAAAAGCAATTCCAGGTCAAAAGCTTAGCCAAGCATTGAAACAGCATCACCAGCTTGCGTTCTGGTATTTTCAAAAAAAACAAATTAAAGGGTGTCCATTCCGAAAAAACTAAAATCCCAACGGCACACTTGCAGGAGAGTGGAAGACTTTCACGAAGTCGTTGCAGACTTTGGATCATGTCCCTAGTTGCATCTAGCTATGCCCGGAATCAGAATATGGGAAGGTGTGACCTGTCAACTTGGAGTCAAATCTCAGTGGCACACCGCCAAAAGCAATTCCAGGTCAAAAGCTTGGCCAAGCATTGAAACAGCATCACCAGCTTGCGTTCTGGTATTTCCAAAAGAAACAAAATAAAGGGTGTCCATTCTCAAAAAAAATAAAATCCCACTGGCACACTTGCAGAAGAGTGGAAGACTTTCACAAACAAAGTTTGAAATTAATCACATTGAAATCACACCCTGCCCTGCTGTAACGGAATCCGAGACATATGGAATATGGATGTAATACCAGAATCATGACTCTGGAAAGGTTTTTGGACGAGGTACACCGGACGAGATACCGGACGAGGTACCGGACGAGGTACCGGAATTACATTTTGCCATCCCAGCCAGAACCCACCCCACATATCCCCACGTCAGATCAAAAACTGTAAATAGTAAAAACGATGTGGATAGGTCCGAAAAATCCAAGCAATAAGGTCCGGAAGATGAGGTGGAGGAGGATAATGTTGCGGAAGATGAGGTGGAGGATGATGATGTGGAGGATGATGAGGTAGAGGATAACGATGTTAAGAAGGAGGAAGATAATGATGTTGAGGATGATCATGTTGAGGAGGAGGATGGGAAGGATGATAATTAATATTGCGGAAGACGAGGTGGAGGAGGAGGATGTTGCAGAAAATGAGGTGGAGGATGACGATGTTGAGGATGATGATGTCAAGGGGGAGGACGAGGATGATGCTGAGAATGATGATGTGGAGGAGGAAGATGATGATACTGAGGAGGAGGAGGAGGAGGAGGAGGAGGAAAAGGAGGAGGAGGAGGAAAAGGAGGAGGAAGAGGACCGATCAAGACCCCCGAGTGTGTACACACTGTGTGGGAAACTCACGTTGCTCCAGGGATTGTTAGGGGGCAAATGGATATAACTTGATACAACTAATGTTTGCCATGTTAAGAATCCCTGCGTGCCTGCGCGTTGAGCTGTAAAGATCATACCAAATAACAAATCATGTAGTAATTCATTCCAGTGGTTGTGTCACTTCTTCCGCATGGCACACCGAGATGAGACAACAAAGTGCTATCTGAGACAAGAAAGGGCTTACCCCATCATTGCGAGATCGCTTCTTGCGGGGGGGTTCCATTGCCATTGAAACACCAATCAAAGCAATCTTGGGCCAAAGTGCCCAATCATTCGCGCATCTGCTGATCTTTGCAGATTGAATTGAGCTTGTCTAAACCTCATTTTGTAACAATATACCATTCCACCAAAAGCCAAAAGGCACCGCTAAACTCCATAAAAGTAACCCAGGGATTGTTAGGGAGGCAAATGGATATAACTAATGTTTGCAATGTTAAGAATCCTTGCGTGCCTATGCGTTGTGCTGTAAAGATCATACCAAATGACAACTCCATTCCAATGGTTGTGTCACATCTTTCGCATGGCACACCGAGATGAGACAACAAAGTGCTGCCTGAGACAACTTAGGGCTTTCACCAAGTACCCCAGATTTTCTGAATAAAAGTTTATCTGCTGGTTGAAAAAAACGATCAGTTCAGGTCATTAGTGGCATTTCCATGCTCTGTATTTTCAATAACAGTGGTTGATATCCTTCATTTTCGATCATTGGCTAATGGCTGAATACTATTGGCTAAGGCAATAATGGTTCATCATCATTAGCTAGTGCTTGCTCATGTTGCGGAAATTATGCGTTTAAATGATATTCTGCTGAAGTATACTCCGGATAGATTCTCATTCAAATTTCTGAAGTGGTGAACACCCCCGTATCTGAGCAAAGCACATAGGAAGATTCATAATTCAAATCTTCGATAGCCTAGATGGCCTGCAAAAAGTTCTTTCCCATATACGTCAAAACAATTCAACTATTAAGCGAAACAACAATGTTTTTCTTACAAAATGTCTTGGCTGTCAGGGTGCCCATGTCATACCATCCTGCTAGCAATCCGTTCTATCCATCTATCCATTTATCCATCTATCCATCCCATCCCATTCACCTAGCTATATTTATGCTATATGTCATCTATCTTGTCCAAACCTAGCTACCCATGCACCCTCCACAAATCCACCAGAGATCACTGCCGAAATCTCCGCCTCTTTGCATCATCCAAATGCGTTCAAAACCACTACTCTCAACCTCCAAGGCCAAGAGTTCGTTCATCTGTAGCTGCATCCTGCGAGAGGGATGTGGTTTTTTTTTAACATGGAACCTCCCAAATGTCCCGGTATATAGATCAGGTCTATCATCTATATGGGTGACCATGGTGTCGCTCATAACAGGGAAAACAATGGTTTCTCGAAACACAAAAAGCAGCGAATCCTGGCACTCTTGAAGTAGGTGCACACGCCACCACAGGACCAGACTGCAAGCCTGGGCACGAGTAACTCGTCGAGATGATGCACGGTAGTCCCATGCACTGTCTGACAGCGCCGAGCACACTACCAGCTCTATATACGGAAACACGTGTGTATATATATATAAATACATATATGTGCGCGCGTGGTTTTGAACTTGTTTATGTAAATTGCATTTATCTATTTGATTTTATTTATATAACTGTATGTATGTATTTTTTTATTTGATCGAATTTATATATCTGTATGTATGTATTTACGTACGTACGTATGTATTATTGTATTATTGTAGTATTGTATTATTGTACTAGTGTATTATTATACTATTGTATAATTGTATTATTGTATTATTGTATTATTGTATTGTTGTATTATTGTGTTATTGTACTATTGCATTACTGTATTCTTGTATTATTGTATTATTGTAATTGTATTATTGTATTATTGTAATTGTATTATCGTATTATCGTATTTTTGCATTATTGTATTATCGTATTATTGAATTATTGTATTTGTGTATTATTGCATTTTATATTGTATTATTGTACTATTGCATTATTGCATTGTTGTATTATGTATGTATTAGTGTATGTATTAGTGTATGTATGTATTGCATGTATTGTTGTATGTATGTATGTATTGTATGTATTGTATTGTATGTATTGTATGTATGTATGTATGTATGTATGTATTTGTATGTATTTGTATGCATTTGTATGTATTTGTATGTATTTGTATGCATTTGTATGTATTTGTATGTATTTGTGTGTATTGGATGTATTGGACGTATTGGATGTATGTATTGTATGTATGTATGTATGTATGTATTTATGTATTGTATGTATGTATTGTATGTATTGTATGTATGTATGTATGTACGTATGTATGTATGTATGTATCTATGTATGTATGTATGTATGTATGTATGTATCTATGTATGTATGTATGTATGTATGGTGTCGAATCGTATGGTATCGTATCGTATGGTATCATATCGTATCTAATCTATATAATCCTATCTAATCCTACCTAATCCTATCTAGTCCTATCTACTTAATCCTGCCTAATCCTATCTACATAATCCTATCTAATCCTATCAAATCCTATCTAATCCCTAGCCATCTATATATCTATCAACCAAACTATCTATCTATCTATCGATCTATCTGCATATCTATCTATCTAAACTAATCTAATCTAATCTATCTATCTACACATCCATCTATCTACAAATCTATCTATCTACAAATTTATCTATCTACTAATCTATCTATTTACTAATCTATCTATCTACTACTCTATTTTTCTACTAATCTATCCATCTACTAATCTATCTATCTACTAATATATCTATCTACTACTCTATCTATCTATCTATCTATCTACCTATCTATCTACTATCTATCCATCCATCTATCTATCTACTACTCTATCTATCTATCTATCTATCTATCTATCTATCTATCTATCTATCTATCTATCTACCTATCTATCTATCTATCTATCCATCCATCCATCCATCCATCCATCCATCCATCCATCCATCCATCTATCTATCTATCTACTGCTCTATCTATCTATCTATCTATCTATCTATCTATCTATCTATCTATCTATCTATCTAATCTATCTATCTATCTATCTATCTATCTATCTATCTATCTATCATCTAATCCATCTATCATCTAATCTATATACCATCCAATCTATCTATCTATCTATCTATCTATCTAATCTAATCCAATCTAATCTAATCTAATCTAATCTAATCTTATCTATCTATCTATCTATCATCTAATCCATCTATCATCTAATCTATATACCATCCAATCTATCTATCTATCTATCTATCTACCTATCTATCTATCTATCTATTTATATGTCTATCTTTTTTTTCAATATAACCCAACCATCCCTTCCCATGGCGGCGACAATCCTCCATCCCGGCTCTGTGGCGCGGGAGCGGGTGAAACGGGTGAGACAGCTAGCGCAGCGGCAAGCGGCTGAGGGCTGGAGGGTCAGCCCAGTCCAGCACAGCTGCCAAAGTGGGCGCGGTGCCGGTGGTTTGAGCCGGAGCAACGTGCTGGCTGTTGCACGCTGGAGCGCACAGGCGAGGACCGCCCACCAGCGGCGGCGCCAGCCAGAAATGGCGGCTGCCCGGATGGCCGCAGGTTCGCGCTGGGCTCGCACAGCGAGGAGGGTGCGCACGAGATCATGGCACTCCTGGTCCCAGCGGCCGCCGAGTTCGGCGCCGAGCACGAGGAAGCGGTGGCCTCCGGCGCGGAGCAGCTCTGGGTACCGACGGTGCTTGCGGGCTCGTGCCAGCTGCAAGGCGGTCCCGTCGTGGGTTGCCGCGCGGGGGAGAGGTCGCCCTGTGCTGGTGAGGGGCGAGACGACTGTCACGTCGCAGCATAGGGCCACGCCCAAGGCGGTGGCCCCGTGGACCACGAGATCGAGCCGGCGCCGGTCCTCGGGAGGAACGCCTGGCGCCGTGGTTCTGTTGAGCCATTGTTGGGGGACCACGCCGGCTCTCTGGCCCAACTGCTTCACGGCAAATTTTGATCCAAGCCTGCTCCATGAGGTGTCCGCGGCGAGCTAGAGCGCCGGTTCGAGGGCAGGCGGCCAGGTGGTCGCCCAACGGATCGACGAGGCGGCCACAGCCGTGAGTATTTGGCACTTGTCCACACCTGGCTGTTGTGAGCGGCAGGGGGAGCCGGAGGCGGCGCCGGAGGGCGATGGCCATGAGGTGGGGTGCCAGTGTGGTAGCTGGCTCCGTCGGGATGGCGGTGAGCCAAGCCCCGGCAGCCGGGCCGGATTGGGAGCGAACCAAAGCACGAGTCGCCGGTGTCATGGGCGGGAACACCTCTTGCTCTCGGAAGGATGTAGTGACAGCGAGAGCTGCGGGGTGTTGCCAGCCGTGGCGCCATAGGCTCGGCTCGGATTCTTGTAGCGGTGGCGAGGGGACAGGGTGGGCCGCTAGGAGTTGGGCCCAAGCTGGCCTGGTGGCCCAGCCGGCTGCATCGAGGCGGGCGGCAGCCGCGACGAGTTCTCGGATGCAGGGCGCATGCGGGTCGCCCTCTTGGAGCAGCTCCCGGCCGCAGGCGGCGACGATGTCCGGGACGCGGGGGCGCAGGGTGCCCAGCGCGTCTGTCCATCCGGCCCAATACGCAGCGGGGGATAAAAGCTCCGCGCTGGTAAGGCCGAGGCCACCAAGTCTGCCAGGCAGGAACGCCAAGCGGCGTGCTTCTGCCAAATGGGGGCATGGCCGTTGTTCCCCAAGCAGGGCCAGAAGGGTGTCCCAGATGGCCGCGTCATGCCCCGTGGAGTATTCGAAGCACTGGGAGGGGGGGACAGTACGGAGGATGTGTTGTGCGCGTGGTGCGGCGCAGAACAGGAGGAGGAGCCAGGCCGCTTGCAAGTCGGGGAGGCGCGGGAGCTCCTCGAGGAGCTCGGCTTCCGCGGCCAGACGGGCTTGCAAGTGGCAGGCGATGAACGCCGGGTGGCCGATCGGCACCCCCAACGCGACAAACCCACGCTGCGCGGGAGGCTGGTTTCCCACCCACACGTCAGGCCCCAGTTGATCTATGCCTGGGGGGGGGTGGCCCCGGGTCCTGGTGATAGACACGGGTTTTGCCAACGTTGGATGCGATGCCCGCGTGGCCTTCAATGGCGCGGGAGACGACATCGTATGCATGCCGGGCGTGGTCCCTGGTGGTAAGCACGCAGATGTCATCTAAGTAAGCATAAAGACGGTCGCCGGCCGGCAAGGTACGGGAGGCATGGACCAGTGCTTCATGCTGGGCCAACGCAAACAGTGCAGGGGCGAGCGAATCGCCCTGCTCGAGGCCTTCTCCTTGCACTATGTCATGCACGGTCCCCTGGTTGTCAAACCAGGAGTAGGAGGATTGTGCCCCATAGAATGCTTTGACGTAAGGCAGGAGCGCCGGGGTGCATTCGTGGACTTTGGCCAAAACGGCTGCGCGGGAGACGGTGTCATATGCGCTGCGGCCGTCCAGGCACACGACCGTGGCAGCCGGGTTGGCGTCGGTGCAGTATCGGGGTGGCCAGCGCGTCGGTTCCGGCGCGGGTTTGGAGGGCGAACTGGAAAGGCCGGGTGGCCAGGTCGAACTGGGTGGCAAAGTGGCGCGCTAGGACTCTGGAGGTCAGCCGGCGGAAGGCTTCTCCAGTAGCGATCCCGCGGATACCACCCCCAGGTTTTGTGAGGGCAGTTAGCCGCGCCCGGGCGAGGGCTTCGAGGACAGGTGCGGGCACATCGGCGTTCGCCAATTTATTGACCATTGCTGTGAGGTGGGCGAACGCTTCCTCGTCCTCGAGGAGGATCCATGGTGCTGCCGGAAAGCCCGGGCGCGGCGCCACGCTTCGCAGTGCGCAGCGCGTCGCCAATCTCTGCCGGGGTGAGGCGGAGAGGCGTGGCTGGCAGCGGTCGTGTCAAGTGGTCCGGGATTGGTCGTCGGAGTTGAGGGGGGCGGCGATCGGGATCCCTAAGGGCGGCCAACGTGGCGGGAGTGCCCGGCGCCAACGCTGGGTGGGTGAGAGTATGCCTGGCGCGGGATAGGTTGCCTTGGCGCACTTGCGCACAGGCTTGGGCATGACGGCGGGTTTGTGGGTTGACAGGAGCCGGGGACGCCGGCCGGGGGGCAGCCGGAGGGATGGCGCCGTAAAGATTTTCCCATGCACCCGCTTGGAAGTGGGCGGCACGTTGCAGAAGCGCCGCCCGACCTTCCGCGCCACGGTCCGGGCTGCGGTGGAGCAGTAGCCGGGGGGGGATGAGCAGGTACAAGGTCCAGGCACGCTGTTGTTGGAGCTGCGTGGCCCGGCTTTGGGTAAGGATGCGCATGGGCACCAGGAAGGCGCGGCTGAGGTGGGCGCGCAGGAAAGCTGGAGGGGAACGTGTGACAGCGCACGGCCTCCGCAGTTCTGCGGCGACGTCAAGGGAGTCCAGCCATGCCCACGCTCGTGCGGGGATGGCGCTAGCAGCCGCGGGCGGGGGCGTGT